GCATTTTATTTGCCTTATTTGTGACATATTCTATGTGTTGGTTGAATAACATTTTTGAGTCAAAAATTATACCTAAATCCTTAATATCAGATACAGAGTTAATATTTAAGTTATTTAAGTTATACTGAAATTTTATCAGATTAATATTGCGACTAAAGCTTATTTGGAAGCATTTATTCAGGTTTAAAAATAAACTATTATCTTGACAGTATTTATAGAGTCGGTCAAGGTCATTTTGTATTAAGACACAATCAGCGATATTATTTATGGTGTGGTAAATTTTTAAATCGTCAGCATACATAAGAAAACGTGCAGATTTAAAGCAGGTTGATATATCATTCACATAAATATTAAACAAGAGGGGTCCAAGATGGGAGCCCTGCGGGACTCCGGAACAGACTTTTGAATAAGACGATAAACAGTTACCGACGGATACAGCTTGGCAACGGTCACTGAGGTAAGATAGAAACCATTTCAGAAGGTTTCTATCTACACCAACTTCAGATAATTTTTTTAATAAGATACCGTGATCAAGTTTATCGAAAGCTTTGCTGAAATCAGTGTAGATAGAATCCACCTGAAGTCTGTTGTTTAGATTACTCAAAATGTATTCAGAATATATGAAGAGATTCGTGTCTACAGACCGTTGTTTTATAAAACCATGCTGTTCATCGTTGAGTATATTAATAACGTCAAAGAAAAGAAAATCAAAAATTAAAGATTAAAATAATTTTGCAATAATACATAATTTAGATATTGGCCTAAAATTTTCTACTAAGTGTTTGTCACCAGATTTGTGTATAGGGATAACATGAGCAGTTTTCCATATCTCAGGAAAATGCCCCTCACATAGAGATTTATTAAAAATTAAAAATAATGGCCGGGATAAACCAACAACGCAATTTTTTATCAAATTAGTATGAATATTATCAGGGCCTGCTGCTTTATTAGGTAAGTTTTTGATTTTTTCTATGATTCTATGTTCGTCAATGTGATAGTTCTTTATATGATGCCCGTGATGTGTTTTGTCAAATTCATGTAAGGAAATTTTTGAATTAGTAGAGTTAAAAGATGATAAAAAGTAGTTTGCAAAAATATTGCAGACATCTTTGATATCGGTGACTAAATTATTGTTATTTTTAAGAAATGAAATAGTATCAGGATTTTTCCTTTTTGATTTTATAAACTGTCATAACATTTTAGGGTTTTCTGAAATGCTACTCTCACAAGTTTTAATGTATTTTGCATAATCTTGAGAAATGAGGTATTTGGATCGCCCTCGCAATAATTTGAAAGTTAGAAAATCTAATTTATTTTCATACCTTTTCCATAAAGAATGATATTTTTTCTTTTCCTTTAGGACTTTAATTGTTTCAAGAGTATACCATGATGGAAACTTTTTATAAGATTTTGAATTTTTCGGGACATGTTCTTCAATTAGATCATTTAATAGAGAATAGAATATATTTGTACATTTAAAGAAAGTAATTGTTTTTTTTTACCGATTTAGTTCGGAAAAAAAGAGACAAAAGAGTTTAGAAACCGGTATGAGTTAAGACTCATAGAAAGCAAAACTTAAAATGATTTAGAAACCTTTTAAAGAAAGTAATTGTTTTTTGCCGATTTAGTTCGGAAAATAACAAAAATATTTAAACACCTGCGTACTTTGGTAAAATACTATCTAAGTGGTTAGGAAACAAAATAGTAGTGGTTAAATGAACAATAGAATAAAGAGGTGTTAAGTGATAATATCCAAGTTAGCTTATTACAATGATAGGCTTAGGTTTTGAAAAGAAAAATCGAACAGCGGTTCAAGTTAGTTTATTTATATATGAGCTTTAAAAAAAACAGAATCAATGGGAAATGCATTTGAACAATTTCGTTGTTTAAGCTAGCTCATTTTGCAATAGTCTTGTTTAAAATATATTTTAAAATGTAATTAAACATATAATTCGGCAAGTAATATAAAATAAGATGTTAAATTTAAATTAAGCCAACCGCATTTAATCAACTCAAAAAATCTTTGACTGATATTAGGACATTGGGTTATTTATAAACCAAATGAAAAAACACAGATCATGGCAGACGCTAGTCCGGTTGGATTGGGGGCAGTACTCATACAAATTAATCCTAAGGGGCCACGGATCATAGCTTTCGGAAATAGAAGTTTATCAGAGTGTGAAATCCTTATTACCGTAATATTTCATTTATACATAGGTAATAATAATAATAATAATAATAAAAAAGAAAGAAAATTATATATTTATAAATTAAAATTATTTTTAATTTTTCATTACAGGGTGAGTATTTTGTTATATTATTTCTTTAAATTATATTAGAAAAGTATCTATTAAATAATTATTAAAACAATAAACTTAATGTCTCTTTTTAATTGAAATTGTAATTAACATTAAATTATACAATTGCTAGGTCACAGTCTACTTTAAACATCTACAATATGTGTTCTAGTGAACCAGACGAAAATATAATTTAGGATTAAACGACTTACCTGTAAGGAAGTTCAATCATAATTATTATACGACGTCTGGTCCACTAAAACACATCCCAACCCTCCCTATAAAGTTATTATTCAGTTAACCCGTATGTGTTCTTACCCAGACAGCACAAAAATATTGCATGAATATTCAATGCATATCTCAACTGCATACTCCTATATTCCATGAATATGCCATATCCGCCATGGCATATGACGGGAAGATTGCAGGAATATTCAAGGTCACCATGAAACATATGCCCACGATATATTTTTATCTGCCAAAATATATGTATGGCATATTCTCTGAATTTACTGAGGATATCTATGTATGCCTATATTCATGGTATTTTGAATATTCATGGCATATTGAATTTTTTTTGTAATGCCGTACCACAGTTTAGAAAATAAAACCCATACTTAAATACAAAATAAATTTTATTTTAAAATAAAGCAAATTTTAAAAAATAAAACAATACATACATACAAAAAACTAAAAATTTAAATTTATTTGTTGAGGTTCTTCACGTACTTTTCTGCTAAAAAAAAATGACATATAAGGTATGTATATCAGTAAAATAGAAATATTTCAAAATCTTGAGACAAACATTACAGTAATACTTACTTCTATAGCATTTTTGGGTCACTTTATTTATAGTAAAGGCCTTTTGTGTACTGTGGATTTTACTACACATCTCTAAAAAAACAAAAATAGGTTTACATAGTGCCTTATCTGCAATTTTATTACGAATTGTCCATATTTTTATTTCCTCTTAACACTTTTATAATGATCAGTTACTTTATTACTAAGAATAGGTAAATCATTAGCCGTAGATGTCTTTGAATTAATATTATTCTATACAAAGAGAGCTGTTGAAATAAACTCAGATTCTTGAATGTTACACGAGTTTTTTTCCTGGAAAAAAGAATAATGGTATTTCCTCGGAAGATTCAGTAAGAAGCTTACATTTTACATTCATCTGAAGCTAATGCCCTATCATTATTTGAGAACAAAAGATTCGTCTACCAATTGATTTACACTTCTTATAAAATATTTATGATTTTAAGCACTACACTGATACTACAGAAGGGCCATATATTATAATTAATCAGACTTACCCCTTAGGTGGGTATATAGTGAGAAAAAACTAAAACTACATCACGTCCATGGAGGAAGGATAATCACGTCAGCAAATCTGACAATGTTTGGTTATGTGTCTTATTCTTCTTCTTTTTTTTTATTAGTGGTCTTCATCGTTTAGAGTATTTGACCAAGGTCATGAATAAAAAAATATTCCTCACAATCTAACTTCCCGTGTATAGAGAAAGTAAAAGTTGAAAAGTCTTTTGGTAGGTAGAGAGGGGGTAAACGTCAAACCACGTCGGGCGGCTCCGAGAATTTCACAGTAATGTTTACCTGCCAGTGTCGTTTCATAGAATAAGTAATTTTAAATTGTTATCGGCGGAACCGGACAATCGCATGTATTTATGGATTATAAATAATTATTAAACATGTATTATAATATTCAAATTATAATTTTACAAAATTTCAACAGCTATTCACAATTTATTAAACTATTTACTCGAAATTGTTATTAAAATCTATAAAATAATTTTGTACGCCAATGTATCGCGTCCACTTCGATGAGATCCGGTGCCAACCTGTCAATTTATGTGTATAAAGTGGGAGAACTGGCAAAAGCATTTCCAACTTTTACTTCTGTTCTAACAAAGACGATAGGCTAGATTATGAGTGCATCCAATAAGATACTATTAGGTAATTTTTACTACCAACTACCAATACTTACTAGGCGCATACTTTTGACTTTTAGAATCATTCTTTTGTCCTTTTCTTGTCTACATTATAGGAAAACTATACATACGTATTTTATCTATGAAGATAAAGATAATTTGATCTCGGAGGTTTGATTTTTTTTATTAATTGAAAATAAGTTTGCATGATTTAAAGTTACATTCCGGAGTTCTAAGTTCACGTTTTCGTTTAATTTAAGTCTTTATAAACTAAACAAAGGATGATATCTTCATTTGTACTTATAAATAATAAAACAAAATAGTTAAATATAATATAATATAATATTCTACAGAGATATCTATACAACATGAAAAATGAATATGCAGAGCATATCAAAAATACATATGCCTGGAATATCTTTCTAGAATATAGAATATGAAATATATTCTGTGAATATTCCATAAATATTGCAATATATTTAGGCAAATAGGCAGATTGGTGGCATATGCCAGGAATATAGTGTGCTGTCTGGGTAGTGACCTAACAACCAAAATGCATAATGAGAGTATCAACGGGTCTTATCAGCAAGGTAGGTTTTTCTAACCTATAAAAACTAGATGTATCTACAATATGTGTTCTAGTGGACCGGACCTGGTATAATTATGGTTGAACTTCCTTACAGGTAAGCCGTTTAATCCTAAATTAGATATTAGTTAATTAACACATACATAATTCTATAATTTTTATTTACAGTTGGTTCATAGAGATTTAGCAGCTAGAAATGTTCTTCTATCTGAAGAAAAAGTTTGTAAAGTTTCCGATTTTGGTTTAACACGAGATGTATACGAAGATAACGCCTATCTAAAACGAAGCAAAGGAAGAGGTAAAAAAAGTTTATTTCCTATTTAAAATATCATTATATCATCATCATTATATTTTTGGATCAATTCCTTGATTTCAGTTTTAAATTTAGTTAATTTAGTTATTTGTTTCGTTGATGAAGGGAGAAGATTAAACAATAGTATTGTTTGTATTGTTTTAATATTTCATAAACTGTATTAGTAGAAAGAACTAAATTATCACTAATAATTTCCCAAGTTCTCAGTTTCTCAAGCCTCGTAGATTTGTGAAAAAAGTCACCAGTCATCTTGTTATCCTGTAGTTTGTAAAAATAAAAAACTCCTTTAGTTAAGTTAACCAATTTATTAAAATAATAACAGTTATCTATTCTTAGCTCACCAAATCACGTCCATTGAAACCCTATTTAACGTTAATCATATCATTAAACACCATATACAGATCCTCTTTTTTTTTTAATTTGGTGTCATCGGCATCGACTGCTAAGGTCATTAGCCTCGTGTTCTGTGTAGGCTTTGTTACTGTTTCCCAGCGCCACTTTAGGAACAGCACTGTTAATTAGAACCCAACAGTGGTCATTTTTATTTGCATTCTTGTCAAACAGTTATTTTGTGTTTTAGTTCCTGTGAAGTGGATGGCACCAGAATCCCTAGCTGATCACATTTATACCACAAAATCTGACGTCTGGAGTTTCGGTATTCTGATATGGGAATTAGTCACATTGGGGGCTACGCCTTATCCAGGAATAGCTGTCCAGAATTTATTCCATCTTCTTCGTCAAGGATACAGGATGGAGAGACCTGACAATTGTTCACCAGGGCTGTAAGTAATTTAACATTGTGTTTGTTACTTTAAGTTCTTCGTATCCAGTTCGTTTTATATATTTGTATTCCATATTTCAGCTAACCAGAAATGTATCTTTGTGATATATTTCAGAGTTAACCCAATGGCATCTTTTTCTTCTTGTTCTTTTTCAAGTTCGGGATCACCAATCCTGTTTTGTTGGGTATTGGTTCTCCTACGTTTCAACTGTTAGTATTCACAAATCTCTAGGAATATCTGAGTGTTTTATATCCAATAAAATACCCAACACAAACTCATTAAATGTATCATTCTTGAATGTATAGCTTTTAAGTTCACCTTTTATCTTCTCCTTTTAGGATAAATGTAATATTAATTAAATTAATTAAAACGTTTATATAAAACAATGCATCTGTGTTCAGCATTCTAGAAAACTTGGTAATGTTTAAAAATAGTTTTTTCTCTTTTTTTTTTATCTTATTTTCATTATAATTGTGCAATAGATTTTAATCTGCTAATATAGTAAACTATCCCTGAATCTAATTTTCACTAGCCCGTTTTAGAAATCCACAATATATTACCAATTTTAAGCCAAACCGCATAACAACAGTAAAATTATTTAAACCTTCAGTAAAATCGTTAGTGTACCATCTTTTTGTCAACTCGTATATTTTAATAATAGCTTGTTGTAGTTTTTTAATCGATTTTTTTACCTATGACAAAGTTTTTCCTTCACCGTTTTAGTATTTAACAACATTAATTTTTATTTGGAGTAAAGGACATATTTATAAAACATAATAAACAACTTCACATACCAAAAATATACATAACTAAAAATGTATTAGATAAAATGTAGGAACACCTGATACTTTTGATATTATGCCATCGAGTTATTGTGTTTTTCGAGTTCTTTGTCTTTGAGTCTCCGGAGAGGTTTCTTTAACGTCTTTCCCAGCCGTTAAAGGATGTATATCACTTCATCAGCTCTTCTTTGAGTCTCCAGATGCTTTTTCAACGTCTCCTTCAGTCGTAGATGATTGTATATTACTCCATGAGCTCCTCTTTGAGTCTCCAGAGAAATTTTCAACGTCTCTTCCAACCATAGATGGTTGTATATCACTCCATTAGTCCCTCTTTGAAACTTCAAAGGCTTTTTCAACGTCTCTTCTAACCGTAGATGTTTGTATATGTCTGCGAAAAATAGTTAAAAACTTGATTATTTCCAAACAACAAATGTTCAGATAGGACCTTTCTTGCTAGGACGGCAGTATATCACTCTATCAGCTCCTCTTCGAGTCTCCAGAAGCTTTTTTAACATCTCCCCTGATCGGAGATGGTCATATGTCACTCCATCAGTTCCTATTAATTGTTTTCGAGACTCCAAAAGTTTCTTTACCATCTTACCAACCAAGAACTCGATGAAATGTCACCAGAGTGATTTGGTGTCACTACATTTCTCAAGACTATTAGTAAATTGCAATCAATAGTTTAAAAACTGGAATGTCTGGATGCACATTCAAATATTGTTACACTTTTAGGTACAAAATAATGAGGAGTTGTTGGCACATAGATCCCGAGCAACGACCATCTTTCTTAGAACTAAGTAAATGGTTTGCTAAACTACTTGAAGATAAAATGGAGTATATTAATTTGTCGAGTAATGCTATTTACAACAAAGGCTATTTTGTGTCTCCATTTGAAGAGGAAGAAGAAGGTAAGAACATATTTTAGTATTAACTTAAATAGGAATTTAATTATGTAAAGTTACCTGAGGCTGTAGATAAATAAACCTTTATTAGAGTAGTTCCAACTGGTATAACAATATTATACAAACTTGCTCTTTTTTATTAATTGAGCTCATAACTTATTTAAAAAAAAAGACGTTAAAATTGCTGCATCAAAAAATAAAATGGTAATTTGTAGTAATTTAAACCTACCTACTTTAGGTTTCAAGAAAGTAAGCATTATTATGCTTAATAATAGGTTTTAGTAATAAATAACAGTAACCAACATGTCTCTAAAAAATATAAACCCTGATATTAAATACAAATAGACAGAAAGTGAAACTTTTAGTAAAATTAGAGATATATTTAAAGAAATTAATGGCTTTACTAAAGTTTTTTGCATTTCATACTATTTGACATAATGTAGTATTACGAAGAAGTTGAGGATTTCTTAGATATCCTTGAGATTCTTTCAAATTTAGTTGAGACAAAATATTTCCTCGGAATATTGGGATGCACTGTGTAATAAAATACTATGGTTCTAAATGAGATCCTTGTAACATACTAGAACTTACTGAGAAACTGATTCAAATCCATGTGAAATATACAAATTGGGATCTGTAATAAATGTTACTACAAGATTACTGTAGAAGATGTTATATTAGATAAAGTTTCACCTATTGATGATTCTGACATCGTCTTTGACATCGGTCCAACATTTATTCAAGATATCGAGTCTATAGTTTGTAATGCATTTAAATGGTTGCCTTTCAAGGCCACAATCGTCACGTTTATGTTTCAAAGGCCATATTATCCTTTAAATCCAATATATTGATATAGAAATCCCCTGTATATCAATTTTTGTGTAAATTTGCCCAGACTCTCAAAAGGGGTAAAAATTTTACATAAAAATATTTACCAAATTTAATAGTAAATAAAAAATATTTTTTTTAATTCTTCAGTCTTCTCTTCCCGTCAGCTCCTTGTCTCCTCTTACCTCTATTGCCTCTACCTGTCTCCTGGTCTCTGCCTATCTGCTCGTCTCTATATATATCTGATAGTCTTTACCTATCTGCTAATCTCTACCTGTGTGTGCTGTTCGTGTCTACCTGTCTTTACCGTGTGTATCTCTCCTGCCTCTACCTTTTTTTTTTTGTAAACGTCTGTCTATCTCTGCTTATTTGTCACAGTGTACACTTTTATTTTTTTTTTTAAATAAAACTTACCTTACCTTTACCTTTTTTTATTTTATTCTTACAGTTCTCAAATCAATCCAACAATATAATTAACTAAAAATCCAAACATAATCCAAACTCCAAAAATTCTAACATAACATCCCCTCTGACAATTCCTGACGATCTCATTTTTTCATGACATTTTTTCAAAAATTCAACAAAAACCCTGACATTTTGATTTTTCTTAAATTTTGATTTTTCTTAAATTTTGATTTCAAGACACTTCACCACCCCAGTATCGTTCAATTTAGATCATAATTCTTCGCCCAGTATATTTTTAAAATATACTGTGAACAATAAATTTTAAATGTTATCCAAATATTGAAATGCCCCTGATTGGTTATAATTTTCCTACCTGAAATGTTGATTTCGTTAATTTTTCTTTATTCATTCAAACCAAACATATAAACTATTTACTAACTAATAACTTTAACTCAAAATGATAACTCTATACCAATTCAATAAATAACTACTTAAATCTACATTTCATATTTCTACAAATCTTATACATGAAAAACCCCTCGTACTTTAATATGTAACTATTGACCCCATTCTCATTCTCAACCACATAAGGTCCTTTAAACGGAAATTGTAACCTTGCACATATAATTTTTTTCCATTTTTACCTACCAAAATAGTTTTTGGTACCTTTATAATATCATTTTCCCCTTCTATTATCTTTTCATTTATTATTGACACATCTGATTCTGTATCTACTAAAATTTTTATCTCTTTATCCCCTATGTTACCTTTTAAATAAATTAACCTTATTTCTTCCCTATACTTTCACCCAAATTTATAAATTCCCTCGGATATTCATATACGCAAACTTTAATTTTTAGTCTTGGTAAGTACTTCTTATAAAATTTTCTTGAATAATTTGTTTCTTCCCCTATAACTTGTACGTTATTCACTCTACGACTTCTTTCGGCTGTATTTACCTTCTGATTTCTCATATCTTGTGATACATCTCTTCTATTATTCCAATTTCCATTCCTATTATATACATTGACATTGCCATTTTCATATATCTTTTATTATTTCAATAATTAGTTCTTCTGTTGCAATTTTGCCTTCTTCTGTATTCTCTATCATTACTATTATTAAAATTTCTCTCTTCCCTTTTTTCCTTGGTTATTACCATCATACCTATCATTTATTCTTATCAAATTCCTCCTATCATACCCGCATGCACTATTTTGTTGAATTTTCATGAGATACGTTAATAATTGATCCATCTAATTCCTTGGAATGTTATTTGGGCTGAAATTTCATCTTTAAAATGCTTACGAATACATCCTACTACGAGTATCTGTTCCTCTGTCATTTGGGGATCTAAGTATTGAGCCATGTCATATAAATTTGCTGCATATATATTAAAGTCCATATATCCATTATTATATGAATTACCATATTCCTAATCTTAATTTGTCATATCTCTCCACAAAAATAGTTCATAAATTGTTTCTCCAACTCCTGTAAACTCTAAATCTCTTTCTTTTTTCTATTCCACCATAAACTTGCCTCATTTGTTAAATGAACTTCTAGAATTCTCTTAATTTCACTAAAATGATCTTGTCCCTTTATTTTCATCATAAATCTTTCCCAAAATATTCTAGGATGTAATAATTTCAAATTTTCATCAAATTGCATCTTTGGTTCATTAATTTTATTATTAATAATTATATATTCTTTTCCTTGATTATTACCATTATTATTTTTATTCCCTCTTCTTTCCTCTATTTGATTTAACTTCTTATTTATTTCTAATAGCTTCTGTTTGATAATTGTTTTTCTAAAGTACCTGTTTGCTGATTCTCATTTTTTCATAACATTTTTTCAAAAATTCAACAAAAACTCCGACATTTTGATTTTTACCTAAATTTTGATTTCAAGACACTTCACCACCCTAGTATCGTTCAATTTAGATCATAAATTTGATGACGTCAGGAATTTCTATATCAATATAGTTATTTAAAAATTAAGAGCGATATCCATGCGACACCAAGAGCAAATTCAGGTTTAGAACACACTGACAATTTTCAGTGCATCTGAACGCACTTTGGCAACGTTGCTCTATTCCCAGACTTACGCTCTCTTCAATTTATTACTTATAAACTATAGATGATTTAAAATATAAAAAAGGCCAATAAATCGCAGGTCCGGTCTAACAAAGAGTATTTCTGTTTTGTTTTCTCGTTTCAAATATTTTTTAAAGGTATAACCTGATGTAACATTTTCGAAACTCTTTTTTCTAACTAAATAATTTATTTACGAAATATATTTTTAAATATACATATGTATTTCCAATGATTATTTCGGAAACATATCTACCTTTTTTCTATATCAAGGGTGTTTGTTGGTAAGTGTAAATGATTTTAGGGAATTTTTGCCGAAGTTATATAAAAAAAACATAGATCAAAAAAGTGGCATTCTCGCACAAACGCAACTGGTGCAAGTAGAAAAATACACATTTGTCCCTTCAAATTTAGAGTAAATATCTTTAAAACTATTTAAAATAATTAATAAAATTTAATAAATTACAATTTAAACATTCTGTATCCCGGAACTTTTAGAGGAACTTTTTTTAACAAAACAATTTTGATAACAATTTGCAAAAATCTTTTGTACTTATTTACAAATACCCTGTATAAAAATACGCTTTTAAAATAATAATCCATTTAATACTAGTTTGTGCAACAACAGTGGACAATCCACTGGAGTTGTACAGTATGTTTTTTCTACGCCCACTAACGAAAATCTACAAATTTAAAGTATTATTTTAGGAAAAGACAAAATAACTAATTTTAATATAATTTATGACTTTACTAATTTGTGAAATAAAATAAACATGAAAAATATTTCATTTTATTAGTCCCCAGCCCAGATTTGAACTCAGGCCTCTCGCGTGAAAGACAGATGCCGTATCCTCATTTTCATCTCCACATTTAGAATTTTAGTTCTAATAGTAGTAATTAAATTAGTTTCATATAGTTTGATTCAAATTTAAGATTTTTTAAAATGTGGTCCAAATAAAAATAAAAATAAAATTATTTATGGACTCTACACAAAAATAACTCATTTTAATGTATATTTAATCTCAAAACCTAAAAAAGATACTGACAATTAGTTTGACAGAATTGTCACCTATTTAAAATTTTAAAAATAATAATAGTTGGTGTCCAATATATAAACTGTGATTGGTGGATTTCATTTTTTTTTGCAGTGTTCTCACTACCTAGAATGGATATGAAATATATTCGTTGAGTTGAACGCAATAGTATATTTTTTCGTTTTGTAGTCTGTGCGTGAATAGTAGTTTGTGCAACAAAATTGGATATGATGGCCATATTGCACGAAGACGAAGTTTGAGAACGATGCCGTAGACGGAGTGCTTAATCGTCTGAGTGCGATACGGACAATCCACGAGTTGTACAGTAATTTTTTTCTACGACACACTAACGAAATTCTACAAATTTAAAAAAGTATTTTATTTAGACAGAATAAATCATTTTAAAATAATGTATGACTTTACTAATTTATAAAATAAAATAATCATACAAAAAGATTTAATTTAATTAGTCCCCAGCCCTGATTTGAACTCGGGACTCTCGCTTGGAGACAAACTCCGTGTCTCACGCCATCGCCACATTTGTCATTTTAGTTCTAGTACTTGTAATTAAATTAGTTTCATATAGTTTGATTAAAATTTAAGATTTGTTTGTAAATTTGGACGAAATAAAAATAGAAATGCCATTACTTATCGATTATACATAAGAAATATGCATTTTTACGTATATTTAATCTCAATAATTCAAAAATATACTGACAGTTAATTTTACAGAATTGTTACTTACATAAAATTTAAAAAATAATAGTAGCCAGGTGACAAAAATATAACCGATTAGTGGATTTAACTGTTTTGCAGTGTTCTTACTAGGTAGAATGGATATGAAATATATTCGTTCAGTTGAACGCAATGGAATACTTTTTTGTTTTGTAGTATGTGCGTAGATTAGCTAATATCCATGTGGGTATAGAAAAAATTATATCCATGTGGGTGTAGAAAATAGTAGTTTGTGTAAGAAGAGTGAATATAAATCAAATGTATTTCATATATAGTTTTATTAAAATTTATAATTATTTATTTCTAAATATAAATCAAATAGAAATAGAAATGCTATTATTTATCGATTCTACACAAGTATAACTCATTTTACGAAATAGCATATTTTTTCGTTTTGTAGTCTGTACGTAGATAAGCTAATATCCATTTGGGTGTATAAAAAATTGTTTTCTAGTACATACTAAAATATATAAAAATAACATTGAGTAAAATGATTTATTATTAGTAAAAGAAGAAATAAAAATAATCAATTTTATTGACTATTGGTCGGATTTCTACTCGGATTTCTACTGAGATTTCTAATATCTAATCCTCTAGTGAAACGTGGATTTAATTTCTCTGGAAGTATACAATCTAAATAAAATTACTTTAGTTTGATTTCCATATACACCAAAATCATCTTTTTTTATTTTTTCTACTAACATACCTAAAGGTATCAAAATAATAAAAAAGCAAATATTTCGTTTAGTTACGTGAAGTTGCCCCTGAATCTGGTAATAATAACAATTATGATTTCGGTTTAATTGCATTTTGTCATTATCATTAATAATTGCAAATTTTATTATGTTGCAAACCATTGCTTTTTCCGTAGCAGGATATTTAATTTCGATAATACTGTCGGTTCCTAATAAACCGTCGGGACCTAAAAAATCAAATTCAGAATCCACAAATAAACCACATTTATTGGACATCTGCTTTAAATTTGTGAATATTGCTTTAAACCTAAAGGTTCTTTTTCTATTCCATACTTAGTATATTAATTTCCCATATATTTGGACTTTTATGCTTAGAACTGAACTGGATTGGAATAAGAGGTGATAGTGTGTGTCTTTTTCTAAGTAATCTTGCACGATATTTTATAGATTTCCGTCGAAATGGAAATATCATTTTCGACATTTCCGAAAGTTTTCCCATTTTTACGACAAACTATTATAACTCAGCTTACACACAAAAGTTCATATAAACACATTAACTAAATACAAAACGAAAACACCTACACTTGAACTAAAAAGAATAAGGTTTTTTTAATAATTTCATCCTAAGCGACTTAAATGACTACCTAAATACTTTTATCCTAATTTTCCGGTACTGCATGCACCGCCAACGTCCGCCGCCTTGTTGCCAAATCAATTAATATGGATTTAAATCTTAACAGATTTTCTCAGATTTCGTAATTCAAGGTTTTCAAAAAATATACGCTTTGGACAAAAAAGTGTATTGGAAAGAATTAGCTGATTTTTATGTAACAATTCCCGGTAAAGACTCCTTTTTGCAATAATTTTCATAATTTGTATAGAAATAATTAAAAAATAAGTTTTTCTGAATTCGGGTTTTACAGCGGGGTTCTCTATCATTTGCTTAGTAGGTGTACCAAATTTTATAAAAAAATATTTAAAACTGACAAAGAGAACCTTGAAGTCGTTTTAAGCTAGTTTCAAACCATGGATATCGCCCTTAACTGGCATTCTCTTACCGGACCTTTATTATTTTAATATTTGATTTTTGTTTTAGAAAACGACCTTGATGCTTCAGAATCATCAGATATCAGTCCTTTGAATTACTTATCAAGAACAACTTCCTACGAAAAATGCGATGCAAGAGAAAAAGAAATAAACGAAGAATTAGAAAAAATCACCGATAACTCAAACAAACAAGGCTACGAAACACCTGTTAAAGTCCCAAGAAGAGTGAAGACTCCAAGCAATGAAGATCCTCAAGAATATACGGATATGGGTGGTAAATGACATGAAAAATATGAAGAAGCTGAAAGCTTGAGAGATTGTTAGGTACTTTCAATAGAAGGTTGAAAACTGGTGAGCCAGATGACTGTTTAGAAAAATTATTTCGATATTTTTTTGATAAAAGAAAAATAATTATATCACTTTCTATAAATTATAGAGATTTACTTGGAATGATATAAAAGATGGCGACAATAATGATGATCTACTATATTTCTACAAAGTTTTTAACAATATCTGTATCCCAGTTGGATGAAAGTAACATTAATAACTAAAACAATATCACTGACATATTTGACAGAACTGATACTTTCACTGTAATTTTCATTACATGGGATGTAAGTATTATTAAAGAATCATTACAATCAGGCTGCTTGCTGTTGATGTTAATATCTTAAGTAAAATTTCATAATAATTATTTATATATTTTGAAATTAATCAAAAACGAGTTCAAATTACTTAATCACCAAATATTCCGAATCAGCAAAACTATTTTGAATATCTACACCTTAGTATTTAAAACTTTTGTATCGTTGGTGTTATCTTTCTTCTTAGTAGTGATACAAAATGTGTTCTAAAACCTCTCGATCAATATTGCACTCCCCTTTGGTTTTCTAATATGCTTCCAGAGCAGATTTGATCCCTTTATATGTCACTGTTCTTCACATTTAAATTCCTAAAGAGATTATAGATCGTCTTACTGTATAATCCTAAAATTATTTTAAAAACGAACAGAGTAGCTAAGTAAAATTAAGTTAATAGAAAGTATAAAGAAGTTGAGGACTTTAACTAATGCCCATAAAATCAAAACAGACTATAGAAAATATTATGGCAGATTTTTGGATACACAAATTGAAGAAAAAATTAAAATATTGGTACAAAATCTCTTTAAATATGACCTTTCTCCTGAATGTCCGATCTTTAACCCCGGCAGAGATCCCTGAGTCACTATCTATAGATGATAATGAAAATAAAATACAATTAGATATACCGTCAAACGGGGCAATTTCGATCAAAAATAAAGGTTTTTTAGCATAGTGCCTAAACGACTTAATTTTTTTAAATGAAATTAAAAATGAAGGTACCTTAAACATTAAGCCATTTGATGCCATCATTATTTTTTTAAGTTTTACCATTCAATTCTTATTTTTCCTCAAAGAGTGATCGACTTTACCCCGTATATTGGGTAAAGTCACATTAATACACCTAATATGGTTCTGGGTACGATTTTCGCCGAATGACCGAACTAAAAACTATTATATTTTTTTTTTTTTTTGTTTTTGGTTTTTTTGTTTGGGCTACTTAATTAATATCTAGCGCTTTCCTACATAATTATTTTTGTTGTCGTTGTTTTCGTACGACTCTGCTCTTCATGATATCCAAAACCGTGGTGGTTTCTAGATCTCTGAACAAATAGCGATTACGAACGTACCAAGGTGCGTTCGCAGCGACTCTGAGACACAAATTTTGTTGAGCTTGTACTTTCTTTCTGTTTGTTCTGCACGTGCGTCTCCATGCAACAGAAAAAAGCGTATGTCAGTATGGGTGTGAATATGGATTTTATTACCCGTAGTTTGGTCTTGGTGAGCTGCTTACTACGTCGTCCTATGACACTAATCGCGGTTGCTTTTGTCGTTATTTTCGTCACGTGTTCCGTGAATCTCAGTCCTTGGTCCAGTTGCACTCCGAGGTATCTCACAGTGTTTGTCCATGGTATGTTTTGTCCGTCGTTTTTTGAAGAGTACTGCCTGACTTTTGTCAGGGTTTATATTCACTTTCCACTTGATGCTCCAGTCCTCGATACCTGTGGCTGCTTCTTGCAGGTTTCGGCATATTATACCTGTATTGGTACTCCTGGCAGCAATCGCTGTGTCGTCGGCGTACATTGATGTCGTGGTGTTGTTTGTCTGTGGTATGTCTGCTGTGTAGATTGTATACAGGAGCAGGGACAGAACTGCCCCCTGTGGTACTCCTGCTTCCGGAGTTGCGTATCTAGATAGGACAGAACCAATCTTGACACGAAACTGCCTTCCACCTAAGAACGACTTGAATAGCTTTGTCATTACTCCTGTATACCAGTAGTCCTTTAGTTTGTTAATTAGTCCTGCGTGCCAAACTCTGTCGAAAGCCTTGCTGACGTCTAGAAAGACAACTCCAGTTGACCTGTTAGTATTGAATCCCTGCGTGATTCCCTCTACTAACCTTAGCACCTGTAATTCCGTGGAGTGTCTTTCTCTGAAGCTGAATTGTTCGTCGGGTATGACATTTAACATTTCGGTTTCTTCTTCGAGTCGCCGTAAGATAACTCGTTCCGCTATTTTGCTTATTGCAGGCAATAAGCTAATTGGTCTATAATTCTGTGGTAATTTAGGGTCTTTACCTGGTTTTTTAATTATTATGACGTCCGCTTTTTTCTAGTTGTTAGGGAAGTAGTGAAGTCTTAAAATTGCGTTAATATTTTTATTATAGTGTTATTTTTCTTTATTCACATTCACAAATAAATATGTTTCCCCGTATATTTACCAATTATTTTCCTTCGTGCAAGTTTTGAGCTGTGGAATCAATAATTTCCGCATGTTTCAATTTCAGCCAATTATCAACACTTTATAAACACATATTTCTCTGTAAACACTCTTCAATCGAGCACGGCTACACCCTTACTGAACCAGTTGTAACTGTTGACTACATAAAAAACGGAACTGTTCCATTTTACGCGCCAATTTTTTCACAGGTGCGTGCTTGATCGATTTTTCCTCGCATGATCGAAATTACCGCGTTTGACGGTATTCAAAATGATGTGTTATTAGTGAATTGAAACATTTTGTTTTTGAGGTTAAAATTTTAGTTCAATGCTGCAGAGATGCATTCATGTAATTACTTGTTTCCTTGGTTACGAAAAAGGTATTGAACACAAACTAATGAATCAAGTCTTGAAAGAAATCGGTGTGGATTAGATCCAACCTCTCTTAGTCACTAAATACAGCAGTGGTAACTGAAAATAAATTATCAAATATTAATATTGAAAACGAATATTGGTTTATCCTAAAGATTTTTGAACGAAAAGGTTTAACACAAAAATGAATCGGGTCTTAAAAGAAATCGATGTGAATTAGAACCAACTATTACTAGACACAAAATACAGCAGTTATTGATATAATATAAGTTATCGACTCAAATTGATACTGAATAAGGACGTTTGTGTAATCTTTCAAATATTGTTATGTCTTTACCTGGAGTATACATTTAGGAAGGAGCTAGAAAACAGATCATGAAACTAATATTATATTAGTTATGCCGATGTAGCTGTTCCAAATTAAATTAACAATAAATGGTTTGGAGTAACATGCTTCGAATTACAGCCAATAAAAATGAAACAACAGAGGAAAATATGCATTAGAAATCCAGATCTCAAAAGCTAGTAATGTTCTTATAATTTATTCTGAAATACAATAGATTCTAGCCTAATCCTTATAAAACATCCTAGTCATTTTCTTTAAAAGTTAACCTATGTGTTTTCTTTGTTTATACACTTCGACTTAAAATATTTTTATGTCCTCTTCTGTTACTAATGCAGCATAAATATCTCAATGCCTATAAAGAAGTGTAGAATTTGGAGTGGTTTCACGTTAGGTAAATCTTTCTTTTCAATCTAATATGCTCCCAGGTATAGTGCTCTCGAATTCTGGAGTTCTACACATTCATACATAATTTGCACTCACTATTTTCTACTACTTAGTTTACTAAGGTGTTCTTTGAGTCGGAAATGCCCCTAATACGTAGCCTGTTCTTGTTCGGCAAATATAGGCCTCTGATCTTTACCCAGAAGTATCTTAGCTTGTTTTAGCATCTTAGGTATAGCATAATATGGTTTTAATGAACCTTATTTAAATTTAAAGCCTTCTTTCTTCTATTTCACTCTTTCCAACTTTGACAGTAACATCGAAAACCTTGTTTCTTGTTTGTCCAAAGAAAAAAAAACTTGTTTTTAGAAAGAGGGAATAATAGTTTTAACCATCTTCAAAGGCTTTTTCAATAGTACTATAATATCAGGACCAGGCTGGATAAGAATAAACTATTTTGGATATTACAAAATTAAAAATCAAATATATTTTGGTGTGAAAAGTAAATCTCAGAGAAAAATATTATTAAAATTAAACCACACTTTTGCTTAATTAAATAATCGTTAAATCTTTATTCGTATAAAGTGTGTCTTACTATACTTTTTGTACCATTGTTAATGGTGTAGAATTAGACGTCTTCTATATAATCAGAAATTTATTCTTTTCCTATTTGAACATTAAGAAAAAGTACATTTTTAAAAATATTTTGCAATAATCAACCTCAAAATTACTAAATATTGATATATATTTTGAAAATAATAAATTAGATTTTTATCACATTTATGTGAATCTATTTTCTCTTAATGTTCAGTAGAAGTATATCAATTGACAGGATATTTTTAATACTTTATAAATTGATGAAGGTCTGAAAGGTATAGATATAGTTTATATTTGTGCAATATATATAAATTAATTAATTAAATAAATAATTTTATACAAATTGTTTTATTTACTGCTCTTTGGAATGTAAATAGTGAGACACTGCAGAATATTCTGACAAGGTGATAAAGTTATACCCAAAAACAAAATTAAACAATAGGACATCGAAAGCTCTGCCTATCAAATATGAAGTACCTCAATGGTTAAAATGGTTTCACTAGAAACCCAAATAATCTGATAATTCCTCATCACAATAAAACAATTTGTAAATATAACAACTCAGCTGATCTAATAGGTTCTTATTTAAAAGTGTTATCATCAACAAATTTCAGATGTGGCTCCTGTGAACCTTCTTAGGGAGTTTGTGGGTTTGCTCCCTAATTTTTGAATCCTACTTCCATAAGTATATTATCTTACCCCTTAAAGATGGGCGATTACTTTGTATTCTAACGCTTGTCAGCTTTCTTAAGGTGCCACCTGTAATTTCCGGTTTTACTTTTTAAAAAGCCACGTTAGTCACCCCACTACTGCCTTTCTACTGTCTCAATTTCATCGTCTTCTGGGTTTTTTAAGTTTATACCTGCCATTTTCTTCTTCTACCTTAATTTGTGGAGACCACCGACCCCAATTTTTGATTTTCATTTCACTCTTGGGGATTCTATCATCTCCTCTCCATGTTAATATTAAGTATAAGTTGTATGTTTATCATTAAGTTTAATTTCTAATGCCACTTTAATTAGTCATTAAGTTCAATGTTACCTCGTTCACCTCATATGTTGTTATTATATAAAGTAGATTTTAGTAGATCTACAATTGTTACAATAAATTTTATTTCTAATTCGTCTTTAAAAACCACTTAAGATCTTAGGTATGTATGTCTAGGTTTACTTTTTTACTGACTTTGTTAACTATGGTTAAACTTGTTATAGGCTTGAAACCAGTCGTCTTGAATAATAATTATATATATATATATATATATATATATATATATATATATATATATATATATATATATATATATATATATATATATATATATATATATATATATATGTGGGATTGATTTGGAGTTGTTTTATTTTCTCTTATTTAAAAAATCAAACCCAAAAACAAAATTAAACAATAGGATATCGAAAGCTCTGCCCGTCAAATATGAAGTACCTCAATGTTCAAATTTTTTTCACTAGGCAACAAAATATTCTAATAGTTTCTCATCATAATGAAACCATTTTTAATTGCTCCTCATCGCTACAATATATAATAAGTCACCTGTATTAAAAAAAAAGAATAAATAATAATTATTTATTTCTATTAATATAAACTAAAAAATCTCTAATCTTCTATATAACTTTGATTAAATTAAAATGATGCATTGAAGTTCCTTTAAGACCAGACTTGTTCCTCTATCCATTCCAGGTAATAGGACACCATAGAATATATTCTGGGTAGTGATGAAATACATGAGGTACCTAATGAAAACACACCCACGATATCGTACATGCAATAAATACCTGGTTCATATTGATGGGGAACCTGGAGAATGCTTGAAATGTCGTGCTAAAAAATAAGAGTTTTTATTATATTTCAAATTGGATAGATTGGATAAAAAGATGCTGGTACAATTTTAATAGTAAAAAGTATAAAAAAAGGATCCTATTTAGTCTAATCAATGGAATAAAGAAAGATTATTGGTTTTACTTAAATCGTAAATTCCTTGAACTTACTTAAAACTTATAACTTTTTTTTCAATAAATATACAGTTGTATCTCTTGTAAAATTATCGATAAATGTTAAAAAATAACGATTTCTAGTGAGAGTTTGCATTAGTAAGACATAACGCGCAGGTCTTCTTAACATTACAATTTGTTAAGCTAAACCCAGTTGCGAGTTCACTTCTATCCAGTAAATTAATGGCTTCTACGTCCGATGGCCTAAAACTCGATGCCAGTAGTTAATAAAGTTTTCTCGACAGCTACTAACTAAGTAAACTTCTTCTGTCTGCTTTAGTACATAAAGTGTTGATTTCAAATGTGCTACTGCTATTTCTTTATCGTCTTTTTTAATTTGACATCCATTAGTAGTAAAGGTTACCTTATACCTCTTCTGTGCCAATTTTTTAACAGATAACAAATTCTTATCCATATTTGGTATAAACAAAACGTTTTCTAATTTAACAGATGATTGTATATTCCGACTGTTTAAAACGTTTAAAAACTATAGCTTGATTGAACCGACCCCTTCAGAAGTTTCCTCAATGCCATTGGCAACTATAACTACTTGCTTTGTTCTAGCCAAAGAAAAGAACTAATCTTTAGAATTGCAAGTATGGTATGAAGCTCCGGAATCTATGATCCATCCGTCATCTTTTGTTACAGTTGTTGTATTGAAACAGTACTCTTTTTCTTCATTAGTTACATGTTGTTTATTTTGTTTCTTTTGCAACCAAACTTTATATTTTCGGAAATCATTCTTTAAATGACCATTCTTGTGACAGAAGAAACATTCAACTAAAGAAGTTGATTGGGTGACAACTGTTCTTAAAGCTGATTGATTTGTTAGGGATTCTAAGTTTATTCGTTTGTACTCTTCGATAAGTTTTGATTGAACAAGATTAATGGTAAAATTATCCTCTGAACGTGTTTCAAGAGCGGTTATTAAAGTATCGTAACTTCAAGATAAACTACTTAGCAGCATAGCAACTACCCACTTTTTTGAAATAGAGTTTTTTCCTACAACAGCTAATTTTTCAAATAATTCTGTCAGCCTTTCTATATGTTCCTCCATATTTCTATTTTCTTCTAAAAAAACTACGTATAATGACAAAGTATTTTCAGTTATAGGTATAAATAGTTAAAGACAGTAATTAATTAAGTAAAATTTGGCTGAGACGATAATTCATATTAAGTTTATCACCAGTTACATACCTGACAAATATCCATAGACGGTATAGATCCAACGCACATCATATGGTCTTCAATAATACCATCAGGTAACTGAAACTGGTATTCCCATTGACATTTCGCAAAAGACCGATTACACGCATCGTAGTCAACAACTTGTAGATAATTCTTCACTAACTCGTCATCAGGACTGTTGATATTACTTGCCCAATTAGTAGCAATGGCTGTGAATACGTGAATCTTCTTCTTGTTGAACAGGCATGCTGGTCTAACGTATGCATTAAGTTCAAAACCAGCGTTCAATCTTAAAAGGGCGATATTGTGGTATGCACCTTGTTTATAATCAGGATGTGTAATTCTTTCGACAATGTTTCTTATCTGCATAAAGCTTGTATTTATAATTCCTGCTCTGACCAAAACGGGAAAATGTCTGAAATAAATAAAATTAAAAGTATATATTTTTATGAATAGCTAAAAATAATTAAAATTAAATCATGTAGGAAACAAAGACAAACCTAGAGAAGGAATACAAAAATATTCAAGAAAAATATCGTTCCCATACTGTCATATAAATAAAAATAAGTAAAATCTACAGAAATTAAAGTACAAGCAACATAATTAAAGAAATAATTAATTTGACCACATTCAAAATAATACCTATTGACAAAAAGTCGACCAGAGATCAATAAAACAAAGTATAGAAGAAAATAAGCTTATTTCGTTCGTTTAAATAAAAAAGATGGATGAATATTTGAAAGCAGAGAAACAAAAGTAATATTGGAAGACCAAGAATAAATATAATCAATAAAGCATTAAAAGAGAAAAAACTACAAGCGGTATTACCAGAAACAAAGGATTAGATAGAAGCAATGCAATCTATATCATTCTGTAAAAGAAATTGTAAGGAGAGGGTATTACACCGATAGAGGTTAGAAAGATTACAGCATTAAGTAAATGGAAGCTGGAACCTTAGAAGATAAACTTTAAAATAATATTAAGATGAATGAACTATCTTGACTGTTTTTTTACTATACTTAAAGTGGAACATTCAAATAGAACACTGCGCATTATATAGGTTTAAAAACATTTATTACAAATTTTTCAAAATATTTAAAATCTTTCCATCGATGTTTAGAAATTTAGTTCAAATATCCATCAAAAAAACATTTAAATTCATTTGAAATCTATTCGAGTTTAACAATATTTACTAAAGTCTGCAAAACAAGAAAAAAATAATAGTCAAAATTTTTTGATACTGTAATTCAAACATTTGAAAAATGAAACTAAAACTATTTTACTGTTTTACAAAAAAATATTTTCGAATGATAACAAATCACCAGGAAATAATGTGGAAAACAATCTATTTTATAGCAAAAAAAAATCATGACAAAGTGAAATTTTTGTAATAGAATGTAACAGGACAGGATTTTTATTTTTGAATTAACTTAAACTACGAATAGTAAATGTTTGTATAGTTTATAAAAAATTATATTAAGAATAATTTTTTTGAAGATATCCAATTTTAATCCCAAAACATCACAAACTTTAGTCTATATTTCTATTAATAACGATTAGACTACAGTTTTGCAATCTTCTAGATCTCTTAATTTACCAACCTACGATTCTTAAACAAAGGCTCAGGTTCTGAAATACTCTCCATATCCTTAAACCTTAACTTAAAATGGACTGTAAGCAACAGAACTAGTGAGCTCTCAGGGATTTTTATAGTAGCACAAGAAATCTGCTAGAAATATTATTGGAAGAACGATGTTCATTTATACAGATAGTGGCCAGCACTACTTACCCCAAACAGACCATAAATGTATGTAAGGTTAGCAATAAAATATCACGAAGCTTTGCTTAAGTGTCCATCAAAAATGTGGTCACCTTAAGATGTATCAAAGATCACGTCACATCGGAAGGTCCTACTGATTTACTACCCACGAACGCAGTCAACCAAATACTTTTTGGACCTGTCCCTTCTATTGGACTGACGACATTGATAGTGACAAACCTTGTGAAATTAAAGGAAATATGGGATGAAACAAGAAACTGCAAAGTTTCCAGGGAGCCTTTAAGTTATCCTGATAACACTACATCAAACAAATACTTGACGATGACTGGACAGAATCATCTTCAAGTACGGAATCATCTTCACATCACGGGGCTATAAGAATTCGAACTCTGCAACGAGTACGAACAAGAAGATGAGACATTTAAAAACATCTACGCTTTACTGACGATCCCTATTATTAAAAGACTTTAGTTTGGCTAAATTTTTCCTGCCGATATAAGAGATGCATCTCTTGGTGTTGTCAACTACATAAAAAATATTTTCTTCTGGCGCAGGTATGCGAATGAATATTTGCCCATTCATCGCTAAGCCAGCTAATTTAAGCATCATATACGAATAGTAGTGTAACTTAAGGACGTTGAAGAAGCCTCTGGAAACTCGAAGATGAAGGGAAGCCAAATGAGGGAGTATCCAAGATGGAGACCATCGCTTACGTGAGCGAGTGTACATTAACGTTGAAGAAAAAAATCACACGTAGTGCCAGAAGGACCTAAGTAAATATCTTTATCGCTATTGGTCCAATTTAAACAGAAAAACTAGTACTATAAAGAAAAAATCATGCGCAGTGACATTGTCAAAAGGACCTAAGTCTATATCTCTGCTATTATTAAATAAAATTAAACAGGAAAACGGTGTTCTGTAGGAGACGTAACATGAAGAGAAAAATCATGCACAATGACCATTCCAAAAGGCCATAAGTCTATATCTTAGCCTTTATTGGTTCAATTTAAACGGAAAAACGGTACTTTAAAGAATAGGTGACGTAGTTTAACGTTGAAGTGAAAAATCATGCACGATGACAATGCCAAAAAGGACCTACGTCTATATCTCTGCTGTTATTAGTCTGATTTAAACGGGCAAAAAGACGTATTATATAATAACGTTAAAAAAATTATGCGCAGTGGTGAAGCCAAGAGGTCCTAAGCCCATATCCTCGTTTCTGTTGATGCGATTCAAATGAAAAAAAAAAACGGAAGAGTGGAGTAAATTACATGTAGATTAACGTTAAATAAAAAAATTCACGTGCATTGGTAAAATCAAAAGAATATAAGCCTATATCTTTATTGTTATTGGTCCGATTCAAACATGAAAAACAGCAATGCAATATAGATTAATGATAAAGAAAAATCATACGCAATAGCAATTCCAAAAGAACCTAATTGTATAACTTGGTTATTATTTGGTCGGATTTTATTCAAATTTTAGAGGGTAATGTTATGTAACATACTAATATTGTTAATATTAGCTGATAATGAGCCAAAGTTCTGTGGGGCAATCCACCCTCCACATATTAAAGATAGAAAATTAAATTTAAAAAAAAAATAATATCAGTTCATCTTGTTGATATAATAATATAATAATAATAATAATAATAATAATAATACTCTCCCTAATTCACCCCCTTACGAGTGAATTTAAACCCCTGAAGTCGACTGAACGACTTGTGTAGGGGAAGGGACGGCTATTATTATTATTATTTGTCGTGGCGCTCCGGGGCGACTTAAAGATGATTGATGGTGCCATTTGACTTAGAGGTGAGGAAAACCCGGAAAACCTCACCCACCATCATCGAGACGGTAATGTATGGCGAATTTTTTTAATCTGCATGTCATATCAACAGAAATTGAATTTCTATTAATACACCACACATCAAATTCTAAACCTAACCATGCAATTTAATTATAAATCCACATGGTCCGGTCTGGGATTCGAAACCCAGCAGTCTCAGACTCATAAACTTGCCTATAAATGAATATAAGCGCGATAGACCGCTACACCACCGTCCCGATACCATCACATTTAAAAATTCTTAGTTAATATTTGACCGCTGATATCCTATAAAATTCAAAATCAAACTATTTGTAATAAAATTTAAATAAACTAATGTTCTTTATGGCTAAAAGATGGTATGTTCTTTAACATAATTTTTTCTCCTGGGCTCGTCTGACTGTCTCCGAATAACACTGAAGCCTATTGACTTATTGTGTTTTACTCCCTGTTAGTTCATAGCACCCACTCTGTCACCTTTATACTTTGTACAAGTTTGTATAGATCCTTGGGTGAGTGGGTTCTATAATACGTTGTTGGATCAACCTGGGGTTATCCAAAAAGTGCCTGTCTTATGCAATCTAGAGCTTTTCTTGTGACATGAGTTCCCCATTGTACATGCCAATTTTGTTGAAGTATCCCTTTACTGGGGCGTGCCCAGTCATGAACCCTGTTATCACTTTCAACTGGTTCCTATTCATAAAGAGTAGTTCTCCAGTTCTTTTGGGACATGGTCTGCCTATGAAGGCTTTTCCATGTGCCTGTTTTGGGGTGCTTCCCCAACAGTTAATAGGTTGTACCCGAATCCAGTCGTTCATGAAACCCCGGACTGGATTTGTGTCTGGTTCCAGTGTTTCGTCTGACCCTCTTTTTGCAAGTTTGTCTACCTTTTCGTTGGCCTTCGATCCCTTGGTGACCTGGCACCCAAAATATTTTTTCTCTATTTCGGTCTGCCAGTGTTCTTAGTTCTTCGATGCGTACCCATACCAGCCTTGACATGACTTTCTGACTCGATATGGCCTTAAGTGTCGCTTGACTGTCTGACATTATTTGAATATGCTGATTTTCGACAGCTCTTTCATTGTTCGTTTTTGTACATTACAAAATTGCGGCTTATACCTCGGCCTGAAATACCGAGGAATGTATTCCTATAGCATAGCTATGGTTAGTATCAGGGTTTTTGGAGAATACTCCCGCCCCTGTGCCTTCCGCAGTCTTATATCCGTCTTTATACTAGTTTTGTTCCTGTCGTTGGGCATTGGGCTTCCCTTATATGGTGATCTCCGATCTTTCCTGTATTAAAACCTCAAATGGAGTATTTAAAGAGTACGTACCTCTTGGTTATGTGGTCTGATCTCATGTCTAACAAGTCTCCTGTCACTAACCTTGAGATACTCATGTGACCTGGCCTAATGCCAAGACTTCCCAGTGTATTCCCTAATCTATAAGCACCTAATCTTTCCTCCCCTTGTATCACATAGTGAAGAGATGCCTCACAACATAACTCTGTATTATTTTCAACAGTGTACAAATTCAAATATTGGCAACAATTCTTATAAATTAGATCTTATAAGAACAGATCAATATAAATTTTCAAATTTTTTTTTTTGTAAACGCAGACTTACATGGATTCTACTCTCACACAATATGCTGACGTAAGCACGAATTTTTCGCTGATTAAAGCTCCTCCACAACTCCATGTGGTTTTTTGATAACCCATGTAGCCCAGTTGTACCTAAAAATAATAATTTTGAATTTTGTATCATTTATCTTTGTTACATCTCTAAATTAAGTATCAAATTTGATATACTGAAGCTCTCAGTCCTATCTAGCTTTAAAAGATATGAGTATTAAATATTTTAATTTTGTAAAACCTATATTAAAAGTATCATCATTAAATAGTTTTCTTCTTCTAGTAGTAGTAAGTAGTTTTTATGATCAGAATCATAGTCCAAATTAATATAATTTAAAATATTTAAATAAACAATTATTTTGAATGTTTTTTTTTTCTCTAAAAAACGTAATAATTTGGCGACTCCATATTCTAACTCTACATAGTGGGCTAAAGGTTACGATTTTCTGAGGCACTTTGCAAAAACTTGAGGCATGGTAAAAATCTACTATTGTAAAAATGTCTTGGAGCTAGACGAATTGAAAAACTAAAGTAACTAAGCAAAATGCTTATTTGTTTCTTTTATAAATGAGTCATATTCAGTGATAATGATTTAAATCTATTATTAGAGTAAAACAAATATAAGTAACTTACAATATGAGGAAATTCCTGCATACCTCGCGTCATTAGATCACTATTAACAGGTTCATCTAAAGGACACGGAGATGATATTTTACCCATTATAGGATGTGTATATTTAAATTCAGCATATTGAGAATACTCCCTACATTCTGCAAAATTAAAACAGAAACATTGTAGGTACATTCTAGTTACTCAAAAACTTTTTTATTGTTTAAAAATGTAAATTATTTAGTAGATTATGATTGTTATGATCTATGGTATAAGTAATTAGAAATTTAAGGTATTATAACAGTCAAAATCGGCTTCACTTAAGTAATTGGTTAGAATTCAAGACTACTCTTCGCCATTGATCTATTCTGGATCCATTTTTAAAGCAGAAATAATTAGTGATTCAACATATTGTAGTAATTAGTTTGTTATACCCTGTATAATTCATTAATTGTGTTTCAACCAAGCCTTTTTTTAGCAGGTGTAAATCATTTATGGGCTCAGCTTTGTCCTAGTTTTGTGTTAGGCTACTGGCTTAGTGTGCAAGTCCAGTATACCCCACTTAAACCAGATCTCGCTCCACAGGTACTGGAACTATCCTCCAGAGAATATTCTTTCATGTACCTGCAGAACCGGCGGTTTTCTAATCCAACTTCTATTTCACCTTATGTTCCTAATCTTCCTTTTCTATCCTACCATTACCCTTGTTATCACTTTGGAACCAATTGTTCCCCAATTCTCATTACTGTCTTTGAGCTTTCCTATAATACTATATATAACTAGCAACAATTGGATTCTATTTCCAGGCATATTTAGGAGGAATTTGTACTATCCTATTATATACATATATAGATTGAATCACTCTAAGTAGCAAATGTGTTTAGAAATGAATAGTACTCTATCTTTGTTCCACAGATACTTCAATGGTATAAGATCTTCTAACCCTATATATGTTTAGATTAGGTTAAACATGAGTGGATTTATTACATTACAGTTCATGTTTAACCTTTCAATGAAGAGCATGGTTAAATATAAATCTATGTTTACTAACAATTAAAATTCTAATAATTTATCGGATTGTGTTATCAACGTCAAAATGTTTTTGAAGCTTACATAAAAACTTACTTGCATGGGCTATACTTCCAGCTGGTAGACCAAGGGGTGTTGTTACAAAATCATTCATTGAGTATCCATAAAAAGTTCGACGTTGCCTAAATTGAGGATCTTCTACAAGTGTCGTATTGATGCAACACAGGTTGCAGTTGATTACTGTATAATTTTCTTGTTTAGAAATATTGAAATTATTTACATCTTCTTTATTATATAGACAATTTGTATTGCAAATTACATTAGGATGTTCTGCTGCTTGAACATCTTTTAATGCTTTAAAGTATAATAATGCTTCAGGACTTTTTGAATCTTCTTCTTCATTAGCTAAAAATTGAATTTAAACCTAATAATCATGGATACTAATCTGGAGTTAGGTTATAAAAAAGAGAAAATATGTCTTCTTTAGTCACAAATTAACACTAAAATGTTTTATAGGTAGTTATGTAGAAAGTACCAGGGGTAGGATTCACCAGGAGTTGGGATTAGTCAAATTTTTAAACTAGAATTCTTAGTTCTTCTTATTTATTTCCGTCCATAACAATCAAATATACTTCAGTTGTCCCCATTGACTGCTCAATTACCTTCTATTTGTTTCTAGTTTTTCTGGTAACAATTGGGATATTTCAAGTGTTTTAATTTTATGTTTGCCATCTTCTGTTAATTCCCAAAGTTACCAACTCCTGAATTTCTAATAATCTATATTATTTTAATGATAATTTTTATTGAAAAACTTTTGCAGTGACAAAATTTTAAATTTTAAAATATAAAATTTTCGGCCAAAATAAAAAAATAAAAAATAACTCAAAAAAGGTGGTAAATACTTGAAAAAAAAAAGTAATACATACAAACAATATCATCGTCACATTCTGCTAAAACTGCTACACTAATATACAAAACAAAAGCAATTGATACTGCACACTTTCCTGACTTAAACATTATCAAAGTTTAATGATTGATTTAGGTCACAAAAGAGTGATCTGTTAACGATTTAATCCGCCACAGACTATTTAAGGATGCTCTGTTGCAATTTAAATTGTTTAAACTATGAATCGTATATCGAAAAATGTTATTGATTGCTTCTACCAATTTTTCTAATTCTATAAATCTAATCTGATGAGTATTGGTGGTATTTATTTTTCACATAGTTTTTGTAACGCGGAAATAGTTCATTATTCTTTTGTTTTTCACTCCAAATTCTTTTGGATTAAGCCGATTGATGTGAAATTTGGAAAATATGCACTTTCATCTCGATGGGAATGTTAACAAATACAAAAAAATGTAGATTTAGATAGATATTTTCTAGTTATTCGATGTTAAATGTATGTTTAAGAGTGATTTTTTATAAATATCTCAAAAACCTTACGTTTTATAAAAAAAAATCATGAGAAACCTCTCTAAATCTTTTTAGAGATGTTAAAATAGGGGAAAAATAAGAGAAATTAATTATAAAACAGATATAAAAGCAAAGTAGACAAAAACTAGTCCAAAAATTTGCTCTATTTCGAAAAATCTCAATACCTGGTTAAATTAGGATAAACAGTCGTTTTGAGTTAAAAGTTTTAAGTAATGACGCTAAATAGGTGTAAAATAAGAACAATTGATTATAATATAAATGAAAAAGCAAGTAAGACAAAAAGTAGTCCAAAAATCGATTCTATGTAGAAACATTTTGAAAACTGGTTAAATTACGGTAAACAATCGTTTCGAATTAGAAGTAGTTTTAAGTAATATTATTACACCAGGGTGACCATACTTACAGCAATTTTGCTGTATTGTAAAGCATTTTTAAAGTATCCAGCAGTTGGTATTGTACAGCAAACGTACAGCAAAACGGCATAGGTATATGTCTAGTGAAATGCTGTATTTATCCACCAAAACGTCACTACTGTCCAGCAATGGTAATACTTAATTTACTGAAACGTAATATATTTAAATGTTATTTATTTTTAGTGAACTACATGAGCACTTCTATGCTGCCGTCCTAGCAAGAAAGGTTCTATCTGCAAAATAAGCAGTTTTTTTATTTATGTGCATTTGTCTATATTTTATCTTTTTCGATACCGAAACGGAATGTCTTATTTGCATGAAAGGTACTAAAATGTTAAAAAGTTACACGAAAAAGGTTTAAAAGATAATAAATATATCTGCTAAAAATAGTTAAAAACTCGATTATTTCAAAACAACAAATTTTCAGATAGGACCTCTCTTGCTAGTATGGCAGTATATGACGTCTCTGTTTTTGTATTTTTATAGTTGAAAGTAAGGTTATAAGTATCAGTCAAAGGTATCCATACCGGTATCATGTGAGATACTTTGTGGTAGAGGCATCGATACTGTTCGATATTATGTTAAAGATATCAATTTATAAGTATCGAGTAACAAAGTATCGAACAAGTAAAAAAATTTTTTTTAAACGGCTGACAACCCCCATTCAACAGGAAGTTAACTAAGTTATAATGTCAATAACTGGCAATTTACCTTATAATTAAAAAGCAAAAAAAAACAGTGGTAACGCTTAATCATATTATGGTCTGTTCCAAGTTCCACAACATGCGAAAACTAAAATATTTCGGTACAAATCATGCGCTGTATGCAAAAATATCGATACTTTCATTGTTTAATATCGTTACTTCTATAGTATTGAGGCATCAATAATATCCCTATTATCGTGTACAATATAGACAGTCATTTAATTGTATCTTCTCGTTTACAAGGATTTATTTTTTATTGTAGCTGGAAACTGAAATATTGCAATCTAAAACAACAGACAATAAATTAGAAAATATGTTTCTATTTCATTGAAAAGAAGAAAAGAACTTACCAAACTTATTCAAACGTATAAATAGTTTACAAATTATAATTTCTTTAAATTCCTAAATACATACCACAAGAAAAAATTAAAGTGACATTTTTTTGATATTTTGTTGACTTATGACAAACGAATGGCTACGTTCGAACACAAGATGATGTTCATAGTACTTCTCGTGGATACTTTTTTAGCAAATTACTTTATTACGTTGTGTTATCATAACAGGCAGGTTAAATACATATGTAACAAATAGATGTTTCGCGAGGTTTTGATTTTCCTCAACAACTTCTCATGAACATTGCAATTACGTTTTATGGTAATGTTATTACGTTCCCTTAAAACAACATCGCCGAAAGGCTTGGCAACGTAATGTGCTAGCTGGGCAGGAAACTTCTCACCAGGCCATTGTAAAGTGTCATGATTGCTTTTGTGTCATTCACGTACCTAGTTTGTTTCTTAAAGAAGCCAATCATTCTGAGGGCTTTGCACACTATGGAATCAATATGGTTGTTAAAAGATATTGTGGTATCAAAAATAATGCCCAGATCAATAACTGTCGAGGATCTATCTAGGTTGACGCTGTCAATAATGTAACATTAAAGAGTAAGATTGTGGGATCTTGTAAAATGCATGGTTGTGCACTTAAAAATATTTATAGAAAGAACGTTATTTTTACACCAGGTAGCAAACCTATTTAGGTCAGACTGTAACAGTGTTTTTACTAAAAAACTAAATCATCCGCGAAAAGAAGGCATTGGGGCTATTAAGAAAGTAGGACGTAACATCATTAAGAATAATGAAAACAATAGGAGACCTATATGTGAACCTTAAGGAACACCGGAAAGGACTGAAACGTCACATGATACGGAGTTATGCACTATGACACGTTGACAACGATTACTCAAATAAGATTTAATCCAGTAAAAATAAGAACCAGAAATACCGATTTCGGAGAGTTTCTAGAGTAGCAATTCACGACAGACACTGTCAAAAGCTTTTGACAGATCGGTGTAGATGGTGTCAACCTGGTAACCATTTTCAATTGTTGAAATTAAACAGTCTTGATAGATTGCCAGATTAGTTGATGTCGAGCGACCTTGATAGAAGCGATGTTGTTGAGGAGAGATATATTTTTTAGACGTGTTAATATGGATTCAAATAGTTTTGGAATTATAGATATACTAGAAATACCTCTATAATTATTTATATCGCTTTTATCTCCTTTCTTGTAAACTGGCATAAGGTGGGAAAACTTCCAAGCAGATGGAAATATTCCACTACCAAATGATTTTTTAAAAATTTGGCTAAGTGGGATTGACAAGAAGTCACAGCACCCCTTCAAGAACGACGGTGATACCCTACCAGGGCCCGCAATTTTACTAGAGTCAAGACTTTTTATTTTATAAGATACTTCACAAGTAGTGAAAGTATGTATGGCTAAAGCCTTGGTTTCTTTGAACACTTCGTCGCGGTGAGCGGACAGTCCGTCAACCGTCGCGTTTTGACGATTTTACCCAACCAGAGTATTTAAATGGGAATGGTTTTCTTGAATCCGCTTAGCTGAACAGGACGGCGTCATGCCGCTGATTTGTCGCGAAGAGTCGGTTAATATCTGTTGAGTTTGATATCAGCGGAATCGTCGGCGTGTGCGGAGACTATATTGTTATTAATTTTAAAACAATGAGTGACAAATTCACACATACAGATTACATCATGACTTTATTTTTAGGTTTCTTGGAAATTATGTCCTTTATAAAACTCAACACGAATTCAAAAAGATCTGTAGAAAGTCTAAAATACTGCCTAAATTTGCTTTCATTTCCAAAAAGCCTCCGCTGTGATATTAAAGGCACCTTCTGTATCGCGACACAAAAACAACTCATCCACTGGCTTATTGGAAACTTTGACGGTTGCAATTGCCAGTTCCTCTTGTTTTTCCTCTTCCAACAATAATAACGCAAACAATTTATTTGCAACCATTTTAGTACCTTCCGTTTACATTCATAATACATAAACAGCACGTACAGACATAGAGAAAGTATAATTTTCTATTTTTTAACAAACCACCTTGGGCGAAAATTGCTGTCCTCAGCGGTCGACGGACTGTCCGCTCACCGCGAGGGAGTGTTCAAAGAAACCAAGGCTTAAAGTGGAATAAAATGGCACAGCGGAAAGATAAATTTTTCGCTTTAAGTCGTCTTTAGAATAGCACGTAAAATACTGACTAAAAACAACCATTCTTATTCTATAGATTCGTACCAAATCATTGTCGAAAAACAAAAAAATTATATTAAAAATCCTTTTTTTTATTAACTCACAAAATTTTTTAAGTAAAATAAATTTAGTTTTTTTTAATTTTATCTAGGCCAGACAGTATTTTCTATCCATTCCAAATAATTTGACACCCTTGTATACACTCCTGGAAGATTCTTGTCTAACCCACAACCTACAACTCCAAATGATGTGATACCTATGATGTCGTACATACACTTTGTTTGTGGAGTATTAGGATGTATTACTTGCAGAGGACCACCAGAGTCTCCCTAAAAATTAAAAAAACAGAACAGATTAGATTTATTGAGAACGCTGTGTCGTACTAAAAAAATAATAACCAATCTATTCTTCATAATTTTTATATACCCACAACAATTTTTTTTCAGAAATTACACATACCAAAATTATATTCACATTCATAATACCGCTTTTTTCTATTATTTACTTTTCCAAAATCTTCTGCAATTAATAATTTTTTCCACATTTAATACAAAATTGTATTGCTCATTCAGCTTACCTTAAGACACCTATTTTGTGCTACCAGGAAACATTTATCAAGGAAGGCCATAATATTTTGTTAGTTTTTTTATTGAATATTTTTTACTTAGTAAGTCGCAAGGCTATAAAATGTTGTAAAAGATGTAGAAAATAAAATATGACTGACAAAACTTTGGGTAATCATAGTGTGGATACCAAAGATTAGCTCCGCCAATCCACAAAAGATAAAAGTCATAATTCTGCTAAAAATGGAAACTGGAATACGGACCGTTTAGAATACAATCAAAAAGAAGTGGGTGAAAAATATTCGGTTATCCAAAAGATGAAGGCAAGTGAAGGAACAAAAAAAATTGGTTGCAATCAAAATACTGAAAATTTATCATTTTCTTCATTGATTTTGACAAATATTACCAAAATAAGCTGGAATTAAACTCAAACCAGCTAAAACATGTTTTCTTCAGCATGACTATAATACTAATACCCCACAGGTAGAGGATACAGTAATATTAATTCAAGGTAATCTCACTTACTTCACAGGTGTCTCGTGTTTTTGTGGTCGATCCATAGCAGATCTGAAGATCTTCAACAATACCATTTCGCAATGGAGAATTCTGATCATTAATTGATCGCCTATACGTATCATTGCACTGAGTAGTAGTAAATGCTTCCAAAGTGACTTTTAATAACTGATCACTTCCATCATTAAAGAATCCAGTTTTGCCCCAACCAGAAGCAACAGCCCTAGTAAATGGTATATGTCTCTGAGTATACAAGCAAGCAGGGCGTAGGAATGTATTGAGGTCGAAGCCAGAGTTTAACTTGAGGAGACCGATATCATGGTATTTTTCATAATTGTATTGTGGATTGTATATTCTGTCAATAACGTCTCTTGTTTGGACATGAGTTAACTCAGTTAGGTTTGTTATTCCTCCTCTAACTAATTTTGCTTCACCCCTATAAAAAAGAAAATAATTAATTTTGATTAGTCCACAAGTATTTTTTAGTGTAACTTTGTAACTCATACTTGAAGGCTATGTTCAATTTGTTGAACTAGAAAGGCATAACTGTAGTTTACAAAAGAGTATAAGTTTCTCTATATCTACTAGATGACAATTTATTGGGATATATCAAAAATTATCTAAAGAACTATGCAATGAAGAAATTTTAGATGAACTTTTAGTAATAGTAATAATGGCCGGAAGCATTTAAAAAGTTCAGTTAACGTAAACACAACTAAATCATTCCATAAAATTACAGGACCTTTTTTGTAAAATGTTCCTTAAGAGAACAGATTATAATATAATGTAAGCAATTTACTCTACAAAACAGTCAACTCAAAAAGTTTTTGATTTGATTTTTGATAAAAATAGAGCTACAACTCCATAAAATATTGATTGCTGAATCAAATTAATCATCTTGTCCAATACAATAGAAGACCTTTATAAAGATGCTTCATTTGCATGCATTATATGAGTATCATCATAGGAGAAACTTTAGGCAGTATGGTACCGTCTCAATTTTGATTTTCTTGGTGCCACACCTGCAGACATGGCGGCCATACTGGACAATTTATGTCAATTATATGAGCTTATAAATATCTCTTTAGTCGCAATGTCCTAGGAGTGGATGCAATTGAAACGTGTGGCCTGAATAAACACGAAACCCATGATGGATTGTTATTTTTTTACTACATAGATATAATTATTACAAATTTTAATATTATTATTGTAACTACTTACCTCACATTATTTTTCAAGCAGTGAGCAGCTGTCAGTACAAATGTTGGACTAATGAGTGATCCACCACAGTTCCATAATACTTCACTACCAGATATGTAACCAATTTGTATCTAAAAATGTTCTGACTATAAGTTTAGTTTATTTTTGCATAAAATAATGCAGATATAAATGTCAATTTTGAAATATTGATCGGTGTAGTTGTATTTAAAGCAGCCGAAGCATCTGCTCTGTCTAAGTCTCTAGGTTTTTTTTTCATGGAAATTTTACCACCTCCATTTCCCCTTCAGAGACGGATGTTTAAAAATTTCCTTATTTATACACTCCTAGGGTACTTAAGGAATATTTACTCCAAAATTTGGGTTGGACGTTGTCTTTCGCTTGCAAATCAAATGTATTATTAGCCAGTATACAATATCTAGATATTTCAGCTCTACAATGTCAAATTAAAACAAATGTATGAGGCTACAAACAGAAGGGCATTTTTCTTGGAAGCTCTAAAGAAAAGTCCTTTTTAATACCAATGTAATATCTGCACCTAAGGAATTAGATAACAGATGAGCTGCATATAACATTTCTATAATTGCAAAAGATATAGAATTCTAAATAGATACGAAGAATATAAGTAGATATCTAGTATTACACCTATCTTAACTGTCATTTACTTTTTAAATTTCTATCCATAGAGTATTTGAGTTTTTAATATATATCAAACCAAGCAAATACTTCTTTTACACGACTAGCTTATTGGGATAAGTGAAAATATCAAAGAATAGAAAAAATATTTACCATATGCGGAAATTCCCTTCGTTCTGCAATTGATCCTCCTACAATTAGTGTTCGAGTCTGGATAGGACATTCCAATGAGCTTGAAAATATTGAGCCACTCAAAGTTGGCGAAAATATTCTTTCGTATGCAAATTTGGAATATTCCTGGCACTCTAAAAATAAAAATTAATTTGCACTTAAATAGAATAGGCTGTGGTTACAAATTTGATATAAACTTTTTAGAACCTATGCTGAAAGCTTTTCTAAAAACATATTTTCTTTATCAAATCTACAAATATGACCGACATCTATTTAGAGAATAAAGATGAAAATAATTGAGACACATTCATATATTTGCATCTTTACCTATCGTAGTCATTGCTGAATTTGCTCTGTTGCAAGCTACGATAACTTCTCCAAAACTAGATAAGGGATCTTACTGGATATTGGCTTTTCCAAGTGATATCATATGAGTGGAATACAATATACAGTAAAGGACATAAACTGTAGAATAAATCATATTTATGAAAAACCAGACACCAGTAAGTGCAAGATCAAAAAACATCGAACAATCGAAATAATAAGGCTTCGTATGCCAAATACTTGACTCTTCATTACGAGTAAACCAATCAAAGTAGCTGACATGTCAAGTGATATGAGCTTTAATATGCCATTTTAAAATTTTTGGTTTTAAATTTCCCTATACCAAATTCCGAAAGTTTAACTGACTTTGGTAAACTAGCACACGAATTTGGCACACTCTATTAGACTTTTGTACTTTTACTATAGCTGTAGGAAGTAGAACTGTATTATCTTCTCTTCCTATGTGTTTTAATGTAGATGTGGATTCATATTGCTAAAGCTAAACAGGTTACTATGGTAGTATTAGTCTTGAACTGTTAGCAGGTCTCGCAGATCTGGCATGTTCTGCAAACTAAATTTGTCTTTTCTTGTCTGTTATGCGACATACAACAGATGCAGTATTGAATTGGGCTACTCTTTTCCTTTGATCATGTACCATACAGTTGTAACATATTCGACTAGTCTATCAACTACAGATAACTGTTTACAATACACGTAGTCTTAATTTGTAGCTTTGAATATGTCTGGGTTAACTCATTTCTACCATATTTTTTAAATGCTTTGAGACAAACCACTATCGTCATGTAAAATCTACTGCAGATTGTATATCCAGAGAATAAGATACGGGAAAGCTGTCAAATAATACCTTATGGTGGAAAGGTACTGAAAAGCTGTAAGAGATAAAAAAGATTGCCACCAAACTCCACTTGTTGAGGTTAATATGTTATTATAACAATAGAATATGGTGTCGATTTTCAAGCCTATCGTAAAAATGATAAGAATTCCATCATATTGCTGAATCTTTTTAAAGGATGTTACCTTTAAAAGTCCTTTACAGAATGAAGAGTCAAACAGAATTACACAAATAATAAAATCAGCACAAACTGAAGAAATGAATAAATGTATATGAAAAGTAAAGCTGTAATATAGGAATTATAAGATATTCTTGAACAATAGAAAACATCCCATACTTGTCCCATAATCATAGTCACCAATTTAATTTTTAATAAATCTCAAGGTATTCCACAAAAATTATATGCCATGTTACATTATTTTTTGTGGATAAACCTTATGATTATAAGTAATCAAAAATTATTGCAAAAATAATATTAAAAATGAAGCAAACTTAATCTGTGAATTTAATATATTTGTTTTAATAACGTAACAGTGATTACAAATAATATACTTGGCTAATTTTTCTGGCTAATCAAAATATTTTTTTCTATAATTGATAAACTTAACTGGTATTTATTTTACCACATATATAAATAAAATTAAGTGTATGTTGCCATAAAAATTGATTCTTATTGGTATTTACAAGTTCTCCTATTAGATAAAACTAACGAATATATTTATGGGATATAATTACCACTTACTTGCTTTGGCCCTTTCTCCAACAGCAGACCCCGAAACTCCTGTACTTCTCTCTGCACAACATATTATAGACTGCTGAGTTCGTCTGTAACCGCAAATATCACTAGGAAAAATTCCTTTGTTTACATAATCGCTTAAAGCAGATGGACAATCAGCAATTATTTTGCAAGTGCCATACAAACCAGATTTTGTTTCGCAGCTGTCACCTAGAAAATAAATACGAAAATTATATATGTTTATATCAAAACCAAATCAAAACTGTACACAACTATAGTGAACGATTATGGTTTTCCAGTGCACCATGTATTTCATTCCAAATAACGAGTTTGAAACAACAAAATAATAAAGAATAAAAAATCTAAAACGTTTAGAAACATTAAAAATCCTAGGGATCTGTTCTCATCTTGGATTCAAACTTTACCGCTAATTGATTCAAATTTCTTCATTCTACTAATTTCATTTCCTTTCTGCCTTTTTCATGTTTTTTTGGTATTTCTTGGATTTATTCTTTTTAGGTTACATATCATCTCAATTCTGGTGGTTTATTCAAAACAAAAAGTGTACATCTTAGATTCCAGGCATTATCTTTCACAATGATGAAGAATTTAATGATTTTTTGTCCAAAGTAAATGCTTTGGTAGATTTTTTATTCAATCTATACCTAATATAAATAAGAACTATGCTGACATCGTGATCCACACATAATCTTGCCTTTAGTTTTGATTTACATGTCATTTCAGTTTAAGACAGTTCTATTCTTTCTTCCTCTGTTAATATACTTCCAACATAATCATAGGTTGTTACTCTTTACTTTTTATTTCTTCATTATTTATTTCTTTCGTCTATATTTACTTCAATTCTAATATTTTCTATTTCTTTTGTTTGTCCATAGGTTTATCTGAATTAAATTTTTTGAGTACCACGTAATCTGTGTAAAACAATTTTTGTTTTTTTTTAAGTTTGACTCATTAAAGATCTATGTTGGAAGATTAACTGGTTCGGCAAAGTTTCTGCTAAGGGTGTAGCGTACTCAAAACCGTTATTCATTAAAGCCCGTTATCATCAGTAAAAATTCCTAGTAAAAATTCCTGATTGGTATTTCCATTACTTTATATTTTGATTATTTAATATTTTAATTAACAGACATTTGGATTTACCAGAAAAATTGTTATCGGAATATATGTATTTATACATCTGTATTTTCCATTTCCATTTTTATAGGTTATATGTGTTTTGTTATCTATTTTTAGGTTCTCAATTCGTCGCAATATTTTTTTTATGTACGTTCAGCGATAATTCTTTAACATTTGGTCAAAATCTAATAATTGGGTCCATGAAAAAATCCCCAAACTCTTCATTTTTTATGTCTGTTTTTTAGTGATAATGCTTTACCACCTTGTCCGATTTATATGATTCTTTTTTTGTTAGTACCTCAAGGGTGATCCCATATAAATTTGGTTTGGATGTTCTGATGACATCTGCACGTTTCTGAAGTCGGTTTTTTAAAATTTTTAATTTCTAATACTTGTCTGTATTTTTACTTAATGTCACAAATATGTGATCGGTTTTCGAGAAGTATTTCATTAAAATATACCACCTGTCACAATAGTGTTTCGTCTTATTTTGGATAAATTATAACATATTTTATAATCTAAATGAAACTAAGAATACATTTTTTGATTATTTATATTGCATAAAACTGAGAAAAACTTTCTATAAAACACAAACTACAAGAAAGACATAATTATTGTGAGAAATAAAAAACAGACAAAAAATCTATAAAAAAGAAACATTCCAATTCTGACTTTGCAGAAATTCTCATTTTTGACATTTATGCCACATGCCAAAACATTGGGACGGATATAATCCAATAGGGTTGCCTTTATTATCCTTACATTGTAAACAGGAATACCAAGTCATGCTCCTTTCAATGTGTCTACAATCAACAAAAATCTGCACAAGTTGGAAGACGATATAAACCCCACCCGCCACGTGAATTTAAGGTTATGACTGGAACCAACCATCCAATCCTAAAACCATATGACACATGTGTGTGTCAGACACGCCCAAAAACTGACGCCAAAACACATTTATGGCCGCTGAAATGCCGGAAGTTATTTGCATTTAATCATTATAGGGTCATTGTCACACATTTGTGACATCAGTTCCTGGAAAAACTACTTGTCACATATATGTGATGCGTGGTCGTCAACGTGCTAGGAGACAGTAACAATAATAAATTTGATAACAAAGAATAATTTCGATAGTAATCTTAATAACAAAACGGTTATAAAAATACTTAAATATGAGAGAAGATGAGAAGATGATCCAGATCGACGACTGGAATTTTGTGATTTGTTGATGACTTGTATTTTTCTTTCGACTGGATACTTTTCTCTGACGAGGCTACTTTTAAATTAAATGGGTACGTAAATCGCCAAAACTGTCGTTATTGGGCTGCAGAGAACCCCCATTGTATGAGAGAACTTCATACTCAGCGCCCACAAGTATGTGGGTGTGTCGGACCTTTCTCTTGCACCGTATAGTTTTTAGAGTGACAACTATCTGGCCTCTTCTTTTTTATTAACGTCACTGTTATTGATTAAGCCACAGGATAAGGAACAATACAGAAAAGAAACAGATGTAAAACAGGAACCTAGCCACTGAAACCACACCTTATTGATGATGAAGCATTGTCAAAAGTGAACCGTTTGGTACCTTAATCGATTAAAACGAGAGATAAAGATACCAGGCTCTTGTTTGCAACGACTTAGACAGAGATCATAGATTTATTACTTGTTCGAAGTGCAACAGTGCACACTTTTGTAGCATATGAACGAAGCTGTCACTGCTGTCGCTGTCGGGAAATCAATATGTTTTGCTTGTCGTGTCTTTATTTGTCATTTTGGATTTTTGGTTGATTTTCCCAATTGATTTATACTTATGGATCATAAATGACTAGTGAGATTTGTGGCACAATATTAATAGTTCATTATGATAGGGTAAAATAAACTATTGTTTAAAACTTTATAATTTTTATTTTTTAAACCTCTGTCGAAAGTGCTACAAATCGAAAAATATTTTACTTAAATTAAGAATAGTTTAAAATGCATTTATGCAAATTTTCATAAAATATGACACATAATTCTGTAAAAGAGATGTAGTTTTCGCAGTGTAGGTTCCGTGAATAGCTACGTTCGCATGTACTGTGAATAGTTACGTTTTCTTAGAGTATCTCTGTGGTGGAACTGAAGGTCAAACATTTCTATTCCTTTTACTTTAAAGATCCGACCATTACTTTCTTTTCTGTATTGTTCTTTCTTCTGTGATTAAGCTATGCTTTTCTTTTTGTAAATCTTTACAAAGTAGGCAAAAGATTGGGAGCAATATATAAAGGACCGCTGTTGTTATGCTGCAGAGAGAGACTAAGATAAACAACCAAGATTTTCCACTTTAAATCATCCACTTATGAACCAAAACTCCATACACCATATTTATTGTGTTCAAAATTAATTTATTTTTCAGTTATTCGAAGAATTTAGTGTTTCGTCAAATAGGGAACCACTAAAATGAATTAATGGCATTTATTTCCAAAAGATGCAGCCCCGCCACAATACACTGCTATTGTTCGTCAATATCTAGACAACATTTTTCCCGGTAGGTGGATTGGAAGACGAGGTACTATTGAGTGGCCAGTAAGGTCTCCAGACCTTGCACCTCTGGATTTATTTTTATAGTGACATCCCAAAAACCCAACAACATAGCAGACCTACAGGACAGGATAGGAGAGAAAAACAATAAAATAACACCGGAAATGTTGCGTAACCTAAGAGACTGAAATGCTGCCAACAAGTCCTTGATGTACATTATGAGCACTTATTACATTGAAAATAAAATAAACTTTTAAATTACGTTTTGATTTTATGCAACCCCCAAACGCGCTGGAAACTAAAATTCGCTGAATTCCTCGTTCCATCAGCTTTGCAATGAAGGGTCACAAGCCACAGGGTTTCATTTGAAAAAAACATGTTGAGGGTGGTTTCAGCTACCCCCGAAGGGCTATATTTTTTAAATTGCTTAAATGTAGGTAAATATATTAAAACGTTGACGTGTCTCGGGAAATTTTAGAAAAATTATTCCACTTAAGGTCTCCACCATGTATTTTACATTTTATCTAATTTCATTTCATTATTTTTACCAATTTTATCAACAAATGTTGATTTATTTTTAGACTTTTTTTTATTTTTGTATTTGAAAGTATATACACAATAATGTTCTTGTAGTTATGCACAGTGTTGTAGCCAGCCATTTTTCATGGAAGGGGTTTTTAAGAACTATGGGGGGGTTCCGTCAAGAAAGTGAATAAAACCAAACAGTCAATAGTGATCAGCGCCAATACTATAGTGAAAATGGTGACGCGATGACCCTCTATGGGTGGGTTCTGACCCCCAAAACCCTCTCCTGGCTACGCCACTGAGTTATGCGATCTTCAAGGATAAATAAACAATTATTGTGATATTTTAGAAACATGTGTAAAATGAAAAGACAGATCTTTTTGCTGAATTTAAGTGGCAAGAAAAAACCTGTATTTGAGTCATGAAATATTTGGATGTTCCATCTCTTATTAATAATTATCTTGGCGATAATTCTTGTATTGTACATTTTTACCGTAAAATATTACTTTTAATGTAAATATTTTTATTTCTATTTATTTTTTAAACAGGTGTTATGCAAAAATATTCATCATTGTTTGGAATTACACTAAAGAATATTTGTAAAGGACCCCGCCCTTTTCTAATGGCAAAGTGGCGTTCCGTCAAATGTAATAAAATTTTGAATATGATGTTGTACTCGACTTGTTGACCAAAAGTGTTCATGGGACCAATTTAATCCTATGACTAGTTTTTAAAATACAGGGTGTTAAAGTCGAGAAATCGTATTTCTTGAAACTACGTAACTTAATTAAAAGAAAAAAATAAGCATTTTTAGTTGATTTTAGCATTACTATGTCCTAGTCTAACGCAAACGTACACATAAATAGTTCAAAATGTAAACATATACAGGGTGGTACTCAGTTATATCTGGGGGATTTATTGAAATTCTGAGAGATTCTGATATGGAATGAAAACATGGTCAAAAATAAAAACTTACATAATGTTTACTGAGTATGCATTTAATATCTAGAATACAATATGGAATACAGGGTGATAGACACATCTTATTCGTTTTTAATGCAGCAATAATTAAAGAAATATTTCTTTTTCAGAATCACCCTATATTTTTCAATTTGATCCGTCAAAATGTACGATCTATTTATTTTTGTAACTAGCTGTAAACAATTAATACCTTCGTATAATTTCATAATTTTAATGTGATCCGTTTTTGAGATTCCAATATATATAGTGAAGAGATATGAAGTTAATAATTGCTTAAAGCTAATAATAAAAATAAATAGATCGTACATTTTGACGGATCGAATTGAAAAATATAGGGTGATTCTGAAAAAGGAATATTTCTTTAATTATTGCTTCATCAAGAACGAATTAGATATGTCTATCACCCTGTATTCCATAAACAGTATTGTTTTCTAGGTATTAAAAGCATAATCAATATTAATAACAAATTCCCTAATATATAGTGTAATTTATTTTTTTTAAGAAACGCCTTTCTGTGGAATGAATTAACAATCACCCTGTATACATATAATGTAAAATGGGTTTATATAATGTTAGAACAGTAAACATTATGTAAGTTTTTATTTTTGACCACGTTTTCATTTCATATCAGAATCTCTGAGAATTTGAAAAATTCCCCCTGATGTAACTGAGTACCACCCTGTATATGTTTACAATTTTAACTATTTATGTGTACGTTTGCGTTAGACTAGGACATATTAATGCTACAATCAACTGAAAATGCTTATTTTTTTTCTATTTAATTAAGTTACGTAGTTTCAAGAAATACTATTTCTCGACTTTACCACCCTGTATTTTAAAAACTAGTCATAGGATTGAATTGGTCCCATGAACACTTTTGGTCAACAAGTCGAGTACAACATCATATTTAAAATTTATTACATTTGACGGAACGCCACTTTGCTATTAGAAAAGGGCGGGGTCCTTCATATGCTGAGGGGTGATATAATTTTTTTAATTAGTATTCGTAAATATATTAATGTACAAATTTTATTTTTTCTCTAATATCTTTATAATTCGTTTTAATAATCAAAATACAGGACTTAGACTAAAATTTTAACTCGTAATTATTATTTAATATACCAATAGTACCCGAATACAATAAAACAAAATAATAAGTCATTATATCTAATTATTTCGATCATTCTAGATATTTGTCCAAATTATTTAAAAACAATGCAAGCTAAATTTAAACCGTTGATAATACTTCCAAAACTAAATATTTTAAATAAAGGTACTAAATTTTCAACGTCATATTAAATTTAGAAATCAATCAGTCAAAAAATCCTAGAATAGTATTGGACAAAAATAGAACTAACCTTCTTTCGTTTGACCTAAAACTTCTGCACTAAAAATCACAATGTATACAATTAATATCCTACACCAGCCCGGATTAACCATGATTGATTTCTATATCTTATCCTTAACTGCCGTCTCGGATAAATATGAATAACTTATAAATAACACACTGTTGTTGAAAAATAATTAAAAATACTGTCTATAATGTATAATCTTACGAGTATTAACAGATATGTTGGCAAAATTATTAATACCGATTACTGAAGATCAAAATCTTGTAGAACCAGTTACTCGAGATGGAATAGTTAATTATTTGTGTTTATTAGTGAATTAGATAATATTTTTTCGTAAAAAAATACAATTTTGTGTATTAATTATGTTTTTTTGTGGGTATTGGATATTAATGATTTCATTTTGCGTGTTTATCTATAATAGTATGGTGCTATTTGTAACAAAACTGTTCTAGTGTTAGTGAATTGAAAACTAATATTTTGGAGATTCTTAAACCAAAGGTAATCGAAAATTAGACCATGCAGAAGGGCACTAGAAACAAACGAGATATTGTTACCGTCAAACGGGGTGAATCAGGACTAAGGGGTCAATCGGGACAGTATAACGTTTATTTACAAACACGTGATTTTTATGCTTGTAGCCAATGTTTTTAGGACGGGTATTATAAAAAGCCTATTGCAGAAACCACAATCGTTTGACCTTCGTATGTCGCCGTCAGTTAATTCGCAACGCTTCATTGGTACAGGTGTCAAAATATTGCAGTATAATTTAACGTTTTTAAAACCGGCTGAAAACTTCGTTTGAAAAAGGTATTTATTGTAGGATTTGAGTATTGCATTGTTAATATAGTATACCTGTGGGTATTTTCTAGATGTTAAGTAGTCTTTGAATAAATTATTTTGTAAAGTTTTTTTATCATTAATTAATGAAAAAAACAAATCACTTCTAGGGGTGAATCCTGACGATGGTCCGAAAATACAAAAGAACGCCTGGGACTAGGTTTTACCAAAATTATAATAAAGAGCAGCTTGAAACGGCTTTGAGGCAATTTAGAAGAGGCCAAATAACCCTTCGAGAAGTAGAAGAGTTATATAATATACCAAGATCGACGCTACAACGACATGCTAAACAGAAGCCAAAGAAACATGGTGGGCAAACTATTTTGTCAGAAGGTGAGGAAAGTAAGCTAGTGCATTTGATAGTATTGGCGGGAAAGTGGGGATACCCGTTGGAAAAAATTTATATTTGATACATCGTTAAGGCATAACTTGATAGAAAAGGAATAAGAGTGGCAAAATTTAATAATAATATGCCCGGTGTTGATTGGGCCAATTTGTTTTGTTTGCGTCATGAAGAATCACTCACTGAAAGACTGTGTGAAAATATTAAACGAGCTCGGGCAGCAGTGTCTCGGAAAATAATAAATAAATATTTTGACCACCTCCAAGAAAACTTACAAAACGTTGAAACTGAATCCATCATCAACTATGATGAAACTTGCTTTGTAGATGATCCCGGACGGAAAAAAGTCATCGTAAAAAGAAAAACAAGACATCCAGAACGCATATTCGATTCAACAAAAACATCGACATCAGTAATGTTTGCCGAAGTGGTGATGGCCAGCTTTTACCCCCATTTCTAGTCTATAGGAGCAAGCATCTTTACGACACCTGGTTGACAAATGGACCAAAAGGTGCGCGCTATGGACGAAATAAAAGTGGCTGGTTCGACCAGCCATTATTTGAAGAATGGTTTATTTCTATTGCTCTACCGTTCTTGAAAAGACGTTCGGCACCAAGGGTAATCATTGGCGATAACTTATGTAGTCATCTGTCGCTCAGAGTTATTGAATTGTGCGAAGAAAATGATGTTAGGTTTTGTTTTTTGCCGCCGAAATCAACCCATTTAACACAGCCACTTGACGTCTCTGTTTTTGGCCCAATGAAAAAGGTTTGGAGGTCAACTCTACAAGATTGGAAAAAAGAATACAAGGGTTCTTTGCCGAAGGAGTATTTTCCGAGTTTACTAAAACGTGCTATAGACAAATTAGGAGGGACTCTAAGTCAGAATATTAAAAGCGGATTTCGTGGGACGGGAATTATTCCACTTGATAGGACTTAATTTGTTATATTTTTTAAATTCCTAATTAATTTTGTGTATATTTTGATAAGTACATTTACAAAACTATAAATATTAATCTCAGAAGAAACCGAACAACCTAAAATATTTTGAATACCTTTTAAAACCAGATTTTTTTGTAAACCATATTTTTCTTATCTTAAGAGCTATTGCTACGATAATGAGATACAATTCGTAGGTTTTATATATTTTATCACCAAGTTTTTAATATTTAAGGTATTGTACGTGATATTTTTTTTTGTTGCTATATAGTAACTTAAACTACAGTTCTGTAGTATGAGATCAACAAAAATTAGTATGATCACTGTTTTAAGGATTCGGTGAACATATTATTATTTCTTGATGAAAAAACTGAAACTAAAATTAAACAATCAGATAAAACAAAAAGATTATTTTTTCAATAAAAATTGTAAAGGAAAGATTTCTCTAGAGAATTCTTAAAAGAAAATTCTAATCGAATAAAAATAAAAGCAGAATCCTTTTATTTTGTCTACCCATCGACTACCAATTGCATTGGCTTCACGTAGTCTTTCGACAATTTCTCACACTTCATTTTTCTTCATATTATTCATTTCGTCTTCCATTGAATGATACCATTTTTCAGCATTATTTCCGTTCATGTCTTCTTTTACTGTAGTAGGTTCATTTTCTTCATATTTTGAAACGTTACAGAAAGTACATTTTTTCGGTTTAATCTGTCTAGTAGATCTTAGCACAGTTGCTGTTACGTTTTCCACTTCCTCTGGAAACAACTCTTCAGTACTTTCGAGATCTTCACTAGTTTCTTTATTCTCAAATAAATCTTCGGTATGCACAACTTCTTCACTTGTCACATGGTTTTCATTTAGTTGTTCGTCTTCTTCTAGGTAAAAGGTAGATTCTTTCTTTTCTTCACTTTCCTTATCTTTATCTTCTTTAAATGGAAAGCAGTCGTCTTGAAATATTACATCTCTATTGACAATTATTTTTTTTTCTTTTATATTCCATAATCTATAACCTTTCGTACCTTGGGGGTATACTAGAAATATACATTTTTCTGCCCGTGTCTCTAATTTATTTTTGTTAATATTTGTTTGTGCTCAAGTGCAGCAGCCAAATACTCTCAATGATTTAAGAGTATCTCTGGTTGGAGTTTTAGAGTTCCATACTTCATAAGGAATTCTATTATTGATAGCTCTAGAAGGAGACAAGTTTCTAATGTAACAAACAGTACTAAGGGCCTCTGCCCAAAAAGAATGTGGCAAAACGGACTCTACAAGCATACACCTAACCATATCTAATAGTGTTAAGTTTAGCCTTTCTGATTTACTATTTTGGTGGGATTGTAAGGAACTGTTCGTATGTGCTGAATTCCGCTTTCTTCTAAAATATCTTTAAATTTATTGCTTGTGTATTCTCCACCATTGTCGCTTTAAAAATTTTTTATTTTTAAATCATGTACATTTTTTCCAAAAGCTTTTAATTTTTTAAATTCTTCAACAACTTCACTTTTCTTCTTAATTATTTTTACTGTTACATGATTAGAAAAATCGTCTAAAAATGTTATAAAATATTGTACACCTCCCTGCGACTCAATGGAAATTTTTCCAACATCTGAGTGAATAATTTCTAACAAATTTTCTGTATTTGTTATACTCTCTTTTGGAAAACTAAACCTTTTCATTTTCCCCATTATACAAATCTCACACAAGTCGTTTTTATTATTTACATGTCCAAGTCTTCTATGCTACGTGTTTTTACCTATTTTCATTACTTTTTGAGCTTTTCTTCAGTTTCGAATATATATAAATTATTTTTTTTTTTTTGTTAATATTACTTCATTTTTATCAACTATTTCGGCTATACTGTCATATATTAATATTTTCTTCAAGTTTTGAAAGTTTAATTTGAAGTCCACCATATTCTTTTTTTACAAGTAGTAATGCTTTACCAACGCCTTTTATTTCCATAGCTCTGCCTTCTACTAAGGAAACATTTCCAATTTCAATTTCTTTAAAGTTAGGCAAAATTTCTTTGAAAAGTGTCATGTGATTAGACGCTCCAGAATCGAAGGTCCACCTATTTATTTTTAAATTTTCAAGGTTTATAACACAAAGGGCTCTATATTTATCTATCTGTAGATTTATTTACTGTAGCAGCTACATGTGTTTCTTCCCGTTTCACTGTATTTTCATCAATATTTTTATTTTCACGATGTCTTCCAGATTATCTACAATTTTTAGCAATATGACCTTTGCCACCACACGAAAAATAAAATATAACCTTTTTATAATAACTAACTTTTGTTTTATTGGCCTCATTTTGTTTTTCAGATTTTTTCAAAATTTATTTTTGATCAATAGGGCTTTGGCACCTTTTTCGTCTTCAAAATCTCTTTTTTCTTCTAATAATAACGTCGCTTTGACGGTTTTAGTATCCAAAGTAACTTCTTTTTCTTCTTCTAACACTTCATATTTCTGCATTGGTAGACCCATCAAAAACAAGCCAAAAGATTGGAAAATATATTCCAGCCTTCGCAACTTTTCTGTTTATATCTTTTATCTTACCTATATATTCTATAATTGACATACTATCAGTTTTGGTCAATGTTACCATGTCTTTTAGCAACATTACGGTGTGTAACAGACCAAATGTGCAATGCATATCTTTAACGATTGACCACGCATCCTTCGCTCTAGCACAGTCACCAATATCTTCAATGTATGAGTCATTTACACTTAATAGTATTAATGATAATGCTTTTTGATCTATTCTCTTTTGAGCATTGGTTAATGCAGTAGGTAAACCTGGTTCAATAGCTTCCCAAATATTTTTCTGGATAAGTGTAGCCTTCATTCTAATGAACCATGGGTAATAATTGTTTTCGTATAACTTGGGCATTCGAAATTCATCATTGGACGTCATTTCGTTCACAGTGAATTATACTTCTCCTAATTTCTAATACCCGACACAATCTGGGCTCATAATCTATTGTACATTGAAACAAGCAAGGCCCGTCTTTTTTGTTTGGATTTGACGTTGGTCGTGTTTACGTTTTTAAATTAAATTGTTTTTTAGATTTTCTGCTTATGTTTGTTTTTGGATATTACCTAATTTAATTATGAGTGATGAAGAAGGCAATGATTTTCTCTCAGTTAGTTTTTTTTCTTCAATGGTGTCAGGCTTTATAGAAGTACTTTTTCACTTTTGTTAACATATGCATAGAGATTAGCCTATATGACGAACCTTAGTTTGGGGGATTTAATTTTATTACTTTTTTCAAAAGTTATTTAAAGCTTTTTTATATTAAAATAAAAGCTTAGGATCACTACTAATGAAGCAGAAATATTTTCGTCGATAGAGCTGTATAAAGTAAATTTTAAATAATGGAAAACATTGAAGAAAATCATGTAAAAATACTATTTATATTTTAATATTTTTATTTTTTATAACTAACTCCTATATTTATCACAAATAAGTTTTTCGTAAAACATATATACAGTTTTCTGTTCGGTAAAAATTTATTATATATATTTTCTTTATCTGGGCCACACAGTATTTTCTATCCATTCGACATAATTGGACACCCTTGTATATACTCCAGGAAGGTTCTTGGCTAACCCGCAGGCAACTCCAAACGAAGTGATTCCTATAATATCGTACATACATTTCGTTTCTTGTGTTTCGGGATGTATCAGTTGTAGAGGACCTCCAGAATCACCCTAAAAATCAAATAGAACTATGAATAGAAACTGAAGAGAAAGAAAATCATATGTAGATTAAATGTTAGTCCTATCATTAAATTTAAGTTCACTTTGTAATACATTTAAAGTGAGTTATTTGAGGTACCTATATCATACTGTACATAATTTTATCGATAAATTGAAATTATTTCTTAAATTACTTCTTTTCTTCGGAAAACTATGAAGATTTTTAGGTATGGCGACGTCTCTTTGCATAAGAATCACCGTTAAGCACTTCATATTTCCCCAGAAACTAGGTATCGAATGGCAACAATGTAGCACCGATTGTTGGTGTAGTGGAACTGACATGACGCCACTGCATCTGTTTTTCTGGGTGTTATTATCGAGGTCTATTTCACTGTCTATAACAACTCAAACATTGATCGCTATAGAAAATCAAAGTATGTGATTGCTATAAACAACGATCGGTGTTACATTGTTGCCTAGTTTCTGGGGAAATATGGAGAGTACTTACGGGCGATTCTTATGCAACGCGACGTCGCCATATCTAAACATTTTTATTATTTTTCGACAGTTCTAGAAAAAACAAGGTAAGTAGCGGGTCTCTTCATCTATTTGCAGCAATTACAAAAATATAATTTATCGAGTTGAACAATTTTTATTTCTACCATGTTCAATAAAATTAAGTTTTTATAATTTTTACCTTCTGGTATTTATGTATTGTAGTCCTAATGATGGCCATGATAGGCCAAAACTAGTCGCGACATAGGTACTTATTTAATGAAACTATATTGTGGTATTGATTTTTTGAATTTTTGCTACTTCTTACATGGCTATGATTTTTTTATCATAAATAATATAAATTATGCAGATGCAGCAAGCCCACGATAAGGTTTCACCAAGATCTAGCGGCAACAAAAGTAGTTCGTTGCTGGCATTTTATAGCTTTAACATTTTAACTTATACAGGGTGTTATTGAAATACACGTACATATTAAAATGGGGAATAGTATGTAATGACCAAAAACGATTGGCACCAATTTTAACTTCAAATTCTAAAATTTAAATATTGGGGAAGAGTCCCCTTTTCCGACCTACTAGTTTCCATATTTAAAGAAGTAAAATAAATCGAAATTGAACTTACCCATAGAAATTGCACTGTTGCCGTAGCAAAACCAATTAATTCAAAATAAAGTTTATTACAGTAATTGTTCAAAATGCCGCCCATTACTATTTACACACACTTGCAATCGTCTTTCCAAAGAACTTTGAACATTAGAAATTAGTCTTGGATTTTGTCGTAGTTCCTCGGCTACCGCATTAACTTTATTGGTTAATTGTTCAACACTATTAATAGGTTCATTATAAACCAGTTGTTTCATGTGACCCCACAAAAAGAAATCGCATGGATTTAAGTCCGGAGATCTCGGAGGCCACTTAGTAGGTCAATTTCTGCCTATCCACTTTTGAGGAAATCTAATGTTCAAAAACTGCCGTACGTTTAAATCAAAGTGAGGAGGAGCGCCATCTAGTAGGTACCACATCCGTTGCCTTAATTGTAACGGTATCTCTTCTAGGAGTACTGGCAAAATATCTTCTAAAAAGTGGAGATATCCTGGCCCATTTAATCTGTTCGGGAGAACATAAGGCCCGATTAAATACTGATCTATTATGCCAGCCCAAACATTTATTGAAAATTTTCTTTGATGCCCAGTTTCCCTAATGGCGTGAGGATTTTCATCACTCCAAATATGCGTATTGTGCATATTGAACACGTCATCACGAGTGAATGAAGCCTCGTCAGTATACAATAATATTTTTAGAAAATCAGGAATATCAACACATTTTTGAATCATCCATTCACAAAACTCCACTCTCTTTTCTTCATCACCTGGATATAAGGCCTGGACTTTTTGGATGTGATAAGGATGTAAACCTTGTTCTTTAAGTGTTCGCCACACAACAAATGAGGACACTCCAATTTCAAGACCTAATCTTCTACAACTTAATTGAGGCCGGTTTTCAACAGCTTCCAATATTTTTTCTTCGGCCGCCAATGTTCTTTGTGTTCTTGTTCTCCCTCGATCTGCATTGACACTCTCAAATTTTCCATGGTCTCTTAGATGCTGAACAGTTGAAATAAACGTACGACAGTCCGGAATTCTCCGATTTGGAAACCGTTCGCGATACAGGATTTGTGCTTGCCGAGAATTTTTTCCAGCTGCCCCATAAACCAGCACTATATCTGTTAGTTCAATATTCGTAAATAGTGGCATCGTAAAAAAATATTTAAAAGTAATCGTAACAACACTTTTTACCAACTTGGAAATGACGCGCTCGTGTTAGCCAGATTCGTAAATCAACTAAAATTTTAATAATCTATAGTTTCAAAAATGTATAGTTTAAAAACAATCATTTATCAAATATTCTAGTTTTTTGATAACGAGGGTAGTAAAAACCAGTCTTCGGAAATAGAAATTAATTCGAAAATCTTGGCAACATGGTTATTTCTTACAAGACTAGTTTTCTTATCATCTGACAAAAACTTGCATATTAATTACTGTTGATGTTTAAAATAGGTAAATAAACCTAATTTATATAGGTCATCCTCAACATATCAGTGAAGTACGTTTGTTTTAGAATTAATTTTCAAAAATTAATAACTCCCTTAATAAGGGGTATTTTTAAAAAATAATATTTTTCTACATTCAGTGGGGATCTGCGCAATACCCAGTTTTAATATGTACGTGTATTTCAATAACACCCTGTATATAAAGACATAAAATAAAGTTCCGTCTTTTGTAAAGTGTCTGTAATTATTTTTAAAAAACCCATATTTATTAGCAAACCTAAAATTTAGTACATTTTACGGTTATATATCAAATTTTAACGATAGTTCTGGTTTCGTAAGATCGGATTATATGTATAGTGTCAAACTGATAAATATACTTACCTATAAGAATGCATTTCATACTTACTTGGCATGTATCCTTTCGATCTTTTGTAGAACCATAGCATATCATTATATCTTCAACAATACCCATTGGTAATTCTGAGTTATCGTTAATCATTCGTCTATATGTCTTATTACATTGAGCTGTAGTAAAGAATTCCAAAGTAACCTTTAATAAATCTTGACTACCTTCATCGACAGCGAAGTCAGTTTTACCCCAACCAGAAGCCACAGCTGTAGTGTAAGGAATAGATTTTTCAGTGTACAAACACGCGGGTCGAAGGTAAGTATCGAGGGCAAATGCTTTACTTAACTTAAGAAGACCAATATCATGGTATTTTTGAAAATTATATTGCGGATATTTAATCCTTTCAATGATGTTTCTTGTTTGTAAATGTGTAATGTCAGTTTGGTTTGATATTCCACCTCTTGCCAATTTTGCGTCGCCCCTGAAAACAAAGTGTTTAAGATGTTATTGGCATACAATTTTTAATTTAATGTCTTATTTCCAATTACTCTAACCACTCTTAAATATTTAATATTTACTAGAGTATGGCCGCAGAAATGCTACATGACAACAAAGAGTTCACCATTCGAATTCCATTACAGTGTAGCATATATACAGGCGAACTCGCTACAATAAAACTAGTATTTGATTTATGCATAACTAAGCACAAAGACATAACTGTAATAGTAACTGACTCACTAAGTGCTCTCCATAGAATCAACAAATATTTACAAAAAAACGCGATGCTTCAACAAATTCAGAAAAAACTACAAATTTTTCAAGATCTAAACAAAAATGTAGAATAAATTTGGGTACCATCACATGTAAGCATAGAAGGCAATTACAAAATTGCTATAGATGGTACGAAAATAAACTGGCTTCTAGAAATTCCACATACAGACCACAAATCCAAAATCAAAGAACATATAACATCTAGGTAAATTAGTTTTAACTCACCTCGAATTACTTGTCAAACAGTGACCAGCTGTTAGTATAAATGTCGGACTAATAAGTGTTCCACCACAGTCCCATGTTGTTTCACTTCCAGTGATATAACCAATTTGTACCTAAAAAAAACCTTTTTATACTTCCGTATGATTTTTATGCAATTTTTCTCTATCCAGGTAGGTACTTTTAGATTTGTTTACTCTTTAAACTCTTCCTAAACTCTTCAAAAAGAGACAGTACTTAATTATCAATATGCTTTAGATTAGATAAAATAAATAGAATGAAAAAATATTTACCATATGCGGAAATTCTCTTCGACCTGCCAATGTTCCTCCGACAATCAGTGTTTGCGTTTTGATAGGACATTCCAAAGTTTTGGCAAAAGTTGAACCCAACGACAAAGCAGGGGAATATATTGTTTCGTATGCATATTGTGCGTACTCCTTACACACTAAAACAAAAAATAATTAATATCGCTCATCTTGTGAATACAAATTGTAATGCCCTAACCCCCAGGTGCCTCTATAAACGAGACCATAAGAAGAAAAAACAAACGCGTTAGAATAATTAATGAGCACGTAGTCTGCAAAAATGTTTTAAGGTGAAAGTCGAAACACCAATTAATAATGCTTTGGAAAAGTATTCAAACACTATCCAAAGCACAACAAACAAAGTCTAAAAGGTATTCTGCCCCATGAGGCTGGTCCAATACGATCAGACGACTACTGCATGGTGGTGTCATGAGTTGGATGACCTCAGGAAGATGACTAGAAAAGCTTTTAATAAGGCAACTACAAAACTCTAGAAGATTTCTTCGCAGGCAGTGAGACTTTAAAAAGATCTACACCGCAGCATTGATACGTTAATCAAAGAGGTTGGCATAAAAACAGCAAACCTCAAAGATAGCATCAAACTTGTGCCGTCAACATACTACCCTGACTCGGTCATCAAAGATGTAACCAACTGGGCAGAGGAAGAATACAACCCATCTGTCTATGATTGGAAGACTTTCAAACACATTGTAAACGATGACAAAATTAGATGGACAATATCTAGCATCTCTCTATATAAATCGTCAAGACTTGACGGTGTCTATCCCGCCCTACTTCAGTGGGGTTTGGAAGAACTCAAACCGCATTTAATAGGTATATTCAGATCCTCGTTGGCTCTAAGATATATCCCCGAAAAATGGAGAGAGGTTAAAGTAATCTTCATATTCAAACCTGGAAGACTGGATTAGACTGTCCCAAAAACATACCGACCAATTAGTCTGACATCGTATTTCATGAAGACATTGGAAAGCTAAGTGAAATGTACATAAGGGATGTGTTGATTACAACAACACCACTGTTGAAGATCTAGTGAAGACTTCAGATTCTGGTGAAACCATAAATTGAACAATTTTTATTAATATACTTTTAATAATTCACATCAAACTATAGTAGCCTTGAAAAAGACTGCGAACTATACCTTTGCTGGCTCACAATAATAACTTAGACCTACTGGCCGTTTACTTTCAGAACAAATGGAAATGAAATTATCTTAACAAACATTACACCCAAATCAACAAGTACACATCCCTGACAGATATACTGATTCAGCCCTTTACCTAGTTGCTGGCCTGAACGATAAGGAGTATGCCTTTGGTATTTTCATGAACATAGAAGGTTTTTTGACAAAACCACCTTTCCCAAAATAATACACCCACAAAGCAACAAGAATGTTCCACAGATGGTTAGTAGGTGGATTTATAACATGCTCTCAAAGCGAACAGTAAACATAAGTGTAGACGATGTGCTTGGTTGCAAGGTGATATCAATATGAAAGAGTGGTATCACCCCTCAATAATAGCAGTCATAAAATGGGCTGTGAGCAATAGTGCAACGGTAGTTCAAACCAAACTCACGGGAATTCTCATAGCAACAAAATAAATCACTAGAATCAATATCACTGAAAGAAATGCTCATCTATACAGATAGCAGACAAGCACTATTCACTCTGAACAGATAAAAGATGTACTCAGGGTTAGTTAGTAAGTTGAAGTTAAAGACATTAATAGATAAAGGGCCTGTCTACTTAAAAGTTTTTTTTTTTTTTTTTCGAGAAAAACCAGTGAAAAGTTTTTTGTGCTTAGTTTAACACAGAAGGGCTATTATAAAACAGCATTTTTCCTATAAATGTGTATTTATTAAAAACATATTTGTTATATAAAATCAAACCTACAAAACGTTTGGTTTTTTACAAAAAAATTAATATTGTAGATAAGCCCATTATCCACTAATTTATTTAACTGGATAAGGGGCCCATAGGTTTATAGATACTAATACAGACTGAAGCTTACAAAAAAAAAGTAAAACTGTTAATGTATGCTTGGATAACGCTCGTCTGTTTATTGTTAAAACATAGGACCTGATTTCAAAAAGAAATATAAGTTTTCAATGAACATTTATTTGTACATATGCCCTTTATCCAATGAATAAACTGTCTGTAATTTTGAGTGGGTAATGAAAATGAAACCTATGAATCATCCTAAGTTCTTTATCCATAAAATTTGGTAATTTTTTTTTGTAAATAGGTCCTTTATCTTCTGAATACTCTTTTAATTATTATCAGATTTTGCTAAAACAATGTAGGAAAATTATTTACTATTTTTTAAACCTCTAGCACACAACAAGTCATTTTTTTAAAGACCCTTTATCCATTCATGTCTTCAATTATACTAACGTATTCCTTATATTACTAGTTTTTGTAAATGGAGTATTTTAGAATTACTCTGTTTCAATATTTTGTTTTAATAAAAGGTAACAACGATCAATACTAAGTAAAAACAATTTACTTGCTGCAGCTCTATCTCCAGGAGCTGATCCTACATTCGAAAATCCTGGTCTAGGTACAGTTCCAACTGTTGGCTTAGGTCTTGGTTTTACAGGTCTAGTAGGTCGTGTTGGTGCAGGTGCTTGATTCCTTCCTACGCAACATATTATCGACTGGGTTCCATTGTAACCGCATATATCTGAGGGAAATATCCCTTTGTTTAGATCATCTAAAGCAGACCGACATTGAGTTATGTATTTGCAAATGCCATCTTTGCCAGCTCTGGTTTCACATGTGTCACCTAAAATATTAAAAAAATGTATTGATATATACAAAGTTACAAATAAAAACAAAAAAAACCTCAAATAGAGTCAATTTAAATAATTTGTCATAATGATGATAAACTAATAAACTAACAACAAAAATCATAAATATATTAGCACGTACAAAATCGAAACAACCAATATTAAGACTAGGGAATTTAAGTCATAGTAAGTTTTAACACCCTCATAAAATTAGAAAAGCTTGAATTAAAAAATTCTAGACTATCAGCAAAGACATTAGCGCTTCGTGAAACTCTAGGCATGAATGAATTGAGGCCACTATTAGTTTTCATGTAGGGCTGATGAAAACTGTTTATTGATCTTGTGCTTCTAGTTGGGGCTGCCAACAACATGCTTGAAATCATGTAGGTCAGTCAACCATATAGTTAATGAGCTTAACAAATAATTTCAGATCTGCCTATTCTTAAAGTTGGCAAGGAGAATGTCTCTTTCAGTACTGCAAAATCATAGGAATAGTCATCTATCCATGGAATATTTGATTTAAATGGTAAGTAGCGAAGAAATTGTTAGCGGAGGCCTTACAAGACTACAGTACAATAACCTGATAGCATTAATACTTGTAAAGTCTAACGTGTTTCTCTTTATAAACTTAAGCATACCAAGTGCTCTGGGTACTATTGTGATAATGTGATTGACAAATAAGAGCTTGGCGTCCATAATAACACCCATATCTCGAATGGATACACCTTGGGACACTGGTGTACCCTGTATATTATATTGATAATCAATTTTGTTGATCTTTCTAGTATAGGATATTGAGTGACACTTAGTGCTGTTTAGGTCCATAGCATTATTTGCACACCACTCATCAAACTTGAAATCATTTATAAATAATAAAAATAACAAAGGTCCCAAATGGAACCCTTGGGGGACTCCAGATGGATTGGGAATGTTCTTATATCTGTAATTATTCAATTTAACAGTTTGGAATCTTTTAGATAAATAACTCGCCAGCCATTGCAATAATGTTCCCATGATCCCAGCAGTCTCCAGTTTATTTAAGAAAAGTTTGTGATTGACCCTATCGAACACCTTGGAAAAGTCTGTGTATATGGCATGCACCTCACCACCTTCATCCAAGACGTCCGACAGATAGTTAACAAAAGTAGAACAAGAAGGAAGAAACGGTATGTCAAATTTACAAGAGCCATAATAATTAAATATATTTTTAGTGTTGGGGCTGCTATATTTCTCTAAAAACAGAATTTTGAATTTTAATGATGTTTAAAATTTATTTCTGCCAATTAATTATGATTACTATAATCTTATGTTTATTATAATTTGTTTAAATACTCATTGGGAGTTCCCACATTGCTTGCTTTAACTAAATATAATATATAAATCTGTGTTTTCCAAAGACAAGAACTATGTGTATTTTAAATAGATTAAATCCACTTGTTTGCATAATTTTTTGGTTAATTTGTTCGATAATGTCTACAATGTTTGTTGAAAATAGGTATTTGCCGATGTTATAGATACTATTGTTATAAATAGTTATTTTTATCAGACGAACTTTCGTTTTCAACGAGCACTTACTGCCTAACGATTTAAGTGAAAGTCTAGCAAAATCGTGACATCGTAGGTGAAGCAATTTAGCGATTTAGAATCTTCCGAGTAAAAAAAGAAGAATAATATTCCAAGCTTAAAGTAATTAAAGAAGGGGTACTCCAAGAAAGTGTTCTGGGGCTAGTTATTTACCTGTTGTTTACCTACGACATACCACAAATGCAAAATGTAATAGTATCCACATTTGCCGACGACACAGCCATACTTGCCATCGGCAAAATCATAGATGAATCGTCTACAAAACAAACAACAACAGGCAACTAATAAAATCTATGAGTGGACAAGAAGATTGTGCATTAAGCTCAATAAAACTAAATCAGTTCAGATTAATTTAACTAATAAAAGACCAGTAGTAAAAGTTAGAAGCAATTATTCAAGAAAACCAAAAGCGCAAGTCAATCAAATATTTCTTTTTAGAGTTATCATGTAGGCACAAATACACACAGACGGCTGGACAAAAAATGTGTATCTGCGGACTCGGAAACAGAAAAAACAATAATACATTATGTTTAGGATAAAGATGGTATAAGAAATACTGATGCTGAGCTCATAAAAATTAAGTAAAAGAATCGATTAGCAACGTAACCATTCTTATTTGGAAAACGGTACTTTTAAAAATGACAGACATTTTTAATAAATAATTGTGAAGTTTCTTTTATGAAAATAAAATGAATCTTTTAGTTCCGTTAAGAACAAAAGCAGAGCTAGATGAAGAAGTAGAACTACCTGTGTACAACATACAACAAGCAGCATGGGATAATAATTAAATATATTTTTAGTGTTGGGGCTGCTATATTTCTCTAAAAACAGAATTTTGAATTTTAATGATGTTTAAAATTTATTTCTGCCAATTAATTATGATTACTATAATCTTATGTTTATTATAATTTGTTTAAATACTCATTGGGAGTTCCCACGTTGCTTGCATTCACTAAATATAATATATAAATCTGTGTTTTCCAAAGACAAGAACTATGTGTATTTTAAATAGATTAAATCCACTTGTTTGCATAATTTTTTGGTTAATTTGTTCGATAATGTCTACAATGTTTGTTGAAAATAGGGATTTGCCGATGTTATAGATTCTATTGTTATAAATATAAGTTATTTTTATCAGACGAACTTACGTTTTCAACGAACACTTACTGCCTAGCGATTTAACTGGAAGTCTAGCAAAATCGTGACATCGTAGGTGAAGCAATTTAGCGATTTAGAATCTTCCGAGTAAAAAAAGAAGAATAATATTCCAAGCTTAAAGAAATTAAAGAAGGGGTACTCCAAGAAAGTGTTCTGGGGCCAGTTATTTACCTGTTGTTTACCTAAGACATACCACAAATGCAAAATGTAATAGTATCCACATTTGCCGACGGCAAAATCATAGATGAATCGTCTACAAAACAAACAACAACAGGCAACTAATAAAATCTATGAGTGGACAAGAAGATTGCGCATTAAGCTCAATAAAACTAAATCAGTTCAGATTAATTTAACTAATCTAATAAAAGACCAGTAGTAAAAGTTAGAAGCAATTATTCAAGAAAACCAAAAGCGCAAGTCAATCAAATATTTTTTTAGAGTTATCATGTAGGCACAAATACACACAGACGGCATTCTTATTTGGAAAACGGTACTTTTAAAAATGACAGACATTTTTAATAAATAATTGTGAAGTTTCTTTTATGAAAATAAAATGAATCTTTTAGTTCCGTTAAGAACAAAGCAGAGCTAGATGAAGAAGTAGAACTACCTGTGTACAACATACAACAAGCAGCATGGGATAATACGCCACCTATTGTGCAGCGAACAACAGGAAATAACTATCCTAAAGAAATAAGGGACCTAATCTCTGCAAAGAAAACTAAGGTGGAAATGGCATCAGACCAGAGCCCCATCAGGTAAAACCAAACTTAACAACTCTACCCAGCAGTTAAAAAGAGAGATAAAAAAAATCAAAAATTAATCTATTTATGAGTATCTTAGTGAGTTGACAAACGATAAATCCACTGATTATTCTCTATGGAAAGCCACAAAGCGATTAAAAAGGCCCACTTGCAAAATGATCCAGTCAGGAATACAGACGGTAGTTGGGCTAAAAATAATATACAAAAAGTTAATAGATTCGCAGAGCACTTACAAAATACCTTCCAACCAAATGAAGGAGAAGAATTACTGAATAGGGTTTCTCTATAGAGTCATGACTCAATTATTATACCAACCTCTCCAAAGGAAACTGCAGAAGGTATTAAAATAAATATTAATCCTAAGAAAGCCCTGGCTTTAATTTAATTACAGGAGGTATCTTAAAACAACTTCCGAATATTAAATTACACACCTGTTTAATAGCTCATTCAAACTAAGGTGTATCCCTAGATTGTGGAAAGTAGCTGAAGTCATTATGATCCCCAAACCAGGAAAACATTCGAACGAACTTTCGTCATATAGGCCAATATCTGTATTGCCTATAATATCGAAACTATTTGAAAAAATACTAATAAAAAGAGTGAAAAATAATATTAAAGAAAGGAAACTTATTCCAGATTACCAGTTCGGCTTTAGAGAAAACCATTCAAATATAAATCAGGTTCATAGAATCTCACATGCGATGCATTAGAAAACAAAGAAGTCTGTTCAGCCTTCTTCCTCGATGTTGCGCATGCTTTTGATGGCATGATGGCTTAAAACATAAACTGAATGTCCTACTTTCACATCCATACTCAGAGCTATTGGATTCATACATTTCAGATAGATTCTTTAGAGCAAAACAAAATGAAGTACACTCTGAATTAAAAGAAATTAAAGCAGAAGTACCACTCTGTATCTGTTACACACTTGTGGCATACCCCAACTAGAACAAGACACAATAGCTACTTTTGCAGATAATACTGCCATCCTAGCGGTAGGCAAAGATCATGAAGAGGCTGCAAATAAACTGCAAACAATCAAATAAATAATTGGACCAAAAGATGGCGTATTAAACCAAACGAAACCAAATCTGTTAATATTAATTTTACTTACAAAAATGGCTAATTCCACAGTACAAGAACCTTCAACTCGTGAAACAAAGGCTAATGAAGCCATGTTTATCGTTTCATTAGATGGCAATATTTAAACTTGACGTCTGACAAGCTGTAGATTAATAAAGCTACTGCTACTACCTGTATCTCTAAGACACTTTGCTAGTAAATTGTTTACTCTTATAGGAATAATAGCATTTTTTAATCCAGAATTTGAAGATACAGATATTACGTGAGCCAAATTTTCTGTAGCAGCGGTGGTTTTAGACGTTTCGTTTTTACTTCGGCATACTTTAGAGAAGTGTTTACGTTTGTGTTTGCAACCTCCACAAAAGAAATATCTAGGAATATCTACTTAAGAAGCAGCAATAATATGCGATTCTGATTCCGAGGGATGAGAATCGTTGGAAGAAGTTTACAAAAGAAGTTGAAGGTGAAAAACTAGCTGGTTGAACTTGAGCACTTTTTGTAAACCTTTCCTAAATCGACGGTAGATTTTTCCAATAGTCTTTGGCGTATAAAATTAGAAGATAATCCCAATATAAAAACATCACGAATGTAATCAAGGATAATATATCGAGACCTTGATAAATAGTCGGCTATTTTTATTGTATCTAAATTTTGAGCGTTTTTGGTACCAATTTGTCAAAACATAATTGTGTCATTAATAATCTGAATAGAGCCCGAGAGCTCTAGGACTTTATTCTTTGATAATTAATGACAAAATTGTCAAGACAAATTGCAAAATACACGAAAAAAATAAGTAACACTAAAAATAGGCGCTATTTTATTAAGGTCGATATATATTTAGTAAGAGTATTTTAGAGCCCTAGTTGCAACTAAGAAAAAATAAATACACATGAAAATAACTTTTATTTCATAAATTAGAAAAAATTAGTTAAAGTTAAAAGAACAATTATTGTAAGTGACATTCCCAGTTTGCATAATTTGGGACATTCGTACTGCTTTTGACGAAGTAGCTGTATTCATGGTAGCAGTAAAAACTTAACTTTCTTCTACCGGATTAAAATCAGTATTTACAGAAGTATAAGCTTGACTTTCTGTATGTCCTCGAAGTTGGTTAATAACACTTTGATGATGCTGGTCATCCATCTGTAAGTATGGTTAAATAGATGATGAACTAGAATTGTTGCTCCGGTACACCTGATTTTCCAAGTTGAGAGACTGCTTTCGAGCGACAAAAATGGTAAGTCATCTTTAAACGCTTGGTGTCTAATCCAATATACTTCGCACCCAATTTGGTCCATTTAAAAAATCATTGTTTCCAATAGGTGAATTTTTGTACCAGAAAGAGTTAATATTTTGACAAAATGGATTTGGAGAAATAAACGTGAACATGTGAATTTTAGACCTCGTTTTCCAATTAATTTTTTGAATAATCTAACTGGGCAGTATTGCAGGTTTTTAGTATTTGGAATCAACCACTTACTATCTGCACATTTTTTGTCTCCTAATTGGCAAATTTTCGTAAAAATAGGATTATGTTCTAATCTGCCTGTTTCTTTACCATCTTCAGTGGTTTCAAATTTAAAATATTTTGTTAAACAAGTTGCGCCTTCCCCACCGCGCCAAGCTAATTCCACGGAAGCCAACTAATAGAAAATCTTTCGGAGACCGTCTGGAGTTTGTTCATCTAATTTGTCAATAATATCGTGTATATGTTTTAAACTTAGAGCTGTAGAACTTTGTTTCCTCTCCTATGAAAATTTATACAATTCCCGTTTCTGCATTTCGTGTATCGCGAGCACATTTGAATTCAATACCTTGAAATGGATCTATCTTTATATTAAATTTTTTAAGATATATTTTTTGTAACGTCTTAGCAGTTGAGTTCCACGTACACTTTAAAGAATATTCTTTGTAGTCGCTTCCGTCTTCTTTTTTCATGTTCCACGCCCAATCTTTAAAGATATTACATAGTTCAGCAACAGTTTTATCATTTGATAAAACATATTTGCGCTGAACGCAAAATTTCATAAACTGATTCCACACACGTTATAACAAAATTACTCATTGATCAACTAACTCTTGATCAGATTGTAATATTAATAAACGCCCCTCTCGAAGTGTTTATTAAAAAAAAGTTTCTTTCATTGCCCATAACATTTTGCGATATGAGATTTACTATATTGATTGTTCCTAATTCCAAATAGCCTATTTTAAGCCTATATCTTTTTATATTTTTTTAAAACTCGCTTATTTTTCTTTTTCTTATTATCGAGTGACTTATAACGGATTTCCCAGTAGTATCGTACCTTTATTTTTTAAACGTTATCTTTGGAAAAGTTATCAAGAGGTTATGGACATATAAAAACATCTATCATATCGGTACTTTCAAATTAAATCAACAATATTTTATTCAGATTCGATAAAACACATTTCTTTTAATTTACAATAATTATAATTGCATATAAAACAATTAATTTATGTACTATATAAGTATATAAAATATTTTGGTAATAAATTTCAAAATGTGTAAGAAAAACATGGCTGAGTTTTATACACTAGATATTTAATATAACCCTAAAAACAGTCCATTGGAGTAAGGTAAGGAGACCTTGCTGGCCACTCAATTGGACTACTTCTACCAGTCAAATGTCGTGGATAAAATATATCCAGCCAATGTCTCCGTAGCAAAAGCATAATGGAATGAGGTCAACCCTGTTAAAAATGTAGAATATTTCCAGATTTTAAGATTGAAATTTCCTTCTAAATCTCTTTGATTTTTACTTTCCTATCTGTATACAGATAAGGAAAGTATAGGAATCATGATTTTTTTCGACTTCCAGTTTTCGACGGATTTTTACGTTTTGGGGTCCCCTGAATCCGTTTTGACTACTTTCGGGATGATGTGTGTGTGTGTCTGTGTGTCAGTGTGTGTGTGTATCTGTATCCACCATAACTTATGAACCGATACAAAGAAAATCACCAAATTTTAAACTTAAGCTTTATTCCGGCGTCCAATGAACTGATTAGATTTTGGGCAGAGTCGTAACACCTGGGGGGGTACTTTATTGGTGGTCATTTTTATATTTTATGGAATATATCTCTTATTTACGCTTGGAGAAGAAAATTCTTTAAATAAAAGTTACTTACAATATTATTATCAATATTTTTTGTTCTATACAAAATTTTCCTAAAATAGTCCGTATATAATTACAATAAATATAGGTATGTATGTCCTTGCTTTCCAGAACATGCATAAAAAGGATATATACATTTTGACTTATTATTTCTTATATTGAAAAATTATGATATAATGAAATTAAATAAATATATTGCTATAGTTCTGAGAAAACTGCCTATCTATACACTATTTTAAAATAAAAATATTTTAAATACTATTACCAAAATTTGTGATAAACATTTACTTTATATAAATTGTATACTTTAAATACAATATGATAATATTTCCTTGAAACATATCATTTAGAGGTCAATTGCATTAAAACTTAATTAATACTTCTTTTATTTATTTATTTATTTATAGTTGTATAGGTACTCACCTTCGTCCAATTGGCCAAAAACTGATACACTACAAAACACTACGCATAAAACTACGACGAACCGCCACCTCCAATTGGCCATGGTAAATGATTGATTGCTGTAAATGTAATGTGTCGTCCTGCTCGTATCGAAGAAATCTGAATAAATTGTTTACTTCAAGCAGAATATTGTTATAAACAATGCTATTCCGATGTATCTTACAGTAGCAGATGTATAGGCAACTTTGATGGCTTCTCTCACTGAAGAACCTGTTAGTCCAGCTCCAGCTGATTTGTTTTCGAACTGCAATCGGTTTTTGATTTGCGAATTAAGTAAATTTTGTCGAGACAAATAACTCGTTTATATTCACGCGTTTTTATATTAAATTTCGTTACAGTTAGTCTGTACTCACAGAATATTTATTAAGACTTTTCAGCAATAATAAAAAAGTTGTTAATGCGTAAATTGCGTTAATCTTTACTATATTAATTGTGTTTTAGACGATTTTTTTTTACAAAATTGTATAGGTACTTCTTATTTTTTTTACCTTTTAGAAAGGTTATGTACCATATAAACCATATACCATATAAATGCCTTAATTTAAATGGCGATGATGTAGAAAAATAAGAGTTTATCTTCAAAATGTATAAAATAAAAATTGTTTTTTACATTTTTTTATTTTAATGGAATTATTGTGTCTTACAAATAGAATGCCGCCAACCAAAGCCCGTACTTGCGTGTTTAGAAAAGTAACTAGAGGCAGCACCGTCGGGTAATTTTATTTTGTCTTTCTTTGATAGGACTTGTTCAGACTTGCATATTAAAAAGTGAAATTTCGCCAAGTTATGTAGTCTCAAATCATTTTTTTTTTTTCAAGAAAACCTCCCAGTAATGACCCAAGAAGAAAAATTGACAATAAATGATCTTAATTTTAATCTTAGTTCTAATTCGTCTTCACATAATTTTAATCATACTTTTAAACATAATGTTAATCTATTTGACAAATTCAAATACTCTGCGTTTCATTTAAATATACAAAGTGTTTCTAATAAGATTGACTCTCTAAATATATTTTTAAATGAAAACCTTTTCGACATTCTTTGGATTACTGAACATTGGCTTGACGTAGACAATTTAAAATTTGTAAAGATTACGGACTACACATTAATTTCTTCATTCTGTAGGTGCCAAAGAAAATTACATGGTGGCGTTGCTATTTTTGCCAAAGTAAATTTTCAGATAAAAAAATATTGATGTAATTTGTACATGTGTTAATTTAAAATGAATATTCTTTATAGCTACATTATTTTTTACTATAGCCCAAACCATTTTTATTGGATTTAAGTCTGGGCGGTATGGTGGTAATCTCAAAATTGTATGACCGTGTTCGGAGAATAATCTATCAAATTTGTACTGCTTGAATCTATTTTTATGCTGGTTGATTAATGTATACAGATGTGGTCGTAATAAGGAAGGTTGAAATTCAATATTGTTGGACGTCAACCAGTTTATCATTTTAGCTTTTCTTGAATTTAAATTCGGAGCAGGATTTTCTATAACATTGTGATACGGTGCATTATCCACAACTACAATAGCATTTGGTGGTAAATTTGGTATTAACAGTTCTCTTTTATTCATTTTTATGAGTGATCAAGAAGGTGATGATTTTCTCTCAGACTTTTATCGTCTAGTGATGACGATTTAGAACTTGCTCTAAATAAACATAGAGTTAAAAATGATAACTATTTAGGTAATTCCTGCTTCACGCCAACTGAAATTGACAAACAGCATCGTTCGATACTGAAAGTGGTACATAAATTCGTTCCATCCTTGTAGAGTGTGATCCCATCCACAAGACAGTACCAGGTTAGCGTTTGTGCATAACAAGCTAGTTGAACGACCCCGTGTACCGTTTTGAAACGGTACAAAACTTTTGGTTGGAACAAACCTTTTATTATTTGTTTACATTTATTTTATGATATCCACAAGTGTCTAATTCTTTTTTTAACAAGTAGAGTCACACTATTACCAGACTTTGTCTTGTTAACCTTTATTATTCAACTTTCAATTGACTTATATGGATTTTCTACCATTTTGGGGAACATCCTTTGCTCAGTTTTAATAATCTCAGCTTTGTGGTAACATGTGCCATATGTTTTAGTAATTCTAGGATCTGAACTGAGCTGAAACTGTTAAACGAATCAGTAATGTACCAAATAAATCGTTGTCCACCTTTTGGTGGATTTAAATATATTTTGATTTAGTTTACAACTAAAAAGGTCGTTCGACAGCTGTAGGTGAGTCCCTAAAATTAAATAAGACAACTTTCTTGGTTTACCTATAGTTTGAAAGGATATTTATATTTTGTGGCTTATGCAAATACTTTTTTCAGACCTTCTTTTAAGTATCTGGAAACTTTCCTAGTCACTATTTACAACTTTGCGGCTCTTCTATTTCTTCTTTAAGCTATCTTTACTTTTGCTATATAGCTAGCCTACCGTACCTCCTACTACGTTTGCTGGTACCAGTTCAGAATCTGCATGCAAGACAGAAGGTTTGCATCAAGATTGATTATCCCAGGACCAACCTCCTACTGGTTAAGGATTATTTACTGCTTACCCTTGTGAGACCTACCTTGGGACCTAAAATACAGCAAACTACACAGGACGTCTTGCCATCTAAATCACAAGTAAGATTCATTCCTTTTCATTAAACTCGAGGTTACGACCTAACCTCAAACCGGCAGCGAAAATTTAATTCCCTCTGCATATTAATCCCGTAGAACGAGCATACATCTAATGTGAATCATAGTACATCATTCTTATGTACGATTAGAGATATTTCGTTAGATTTTTATAGCTACGAAGGCCTATTTTGTTGATTAGATTATTACTCACGTGGTATAAATACGGTTTGTAACGAATAGTACTATTCGAGCACCTCACCTTACATATTCTCAGTAATATACATTGTAGGTATATCTTAATAGTTAACATTACAACAATGGCGTGGTACTCTGCGGACACAAAAAAAAATTGAACTAGCAACAATAACGCTTGGCCTCTTTCATAAGTAAAGGCGGAGCGTAACAAGGTATACTTCGCCAGTTAAATTTCCAGGAATGAAAAGTTGTCCTACAATATGGTTACCTAATAAGCCACACCAGACATTTATTTTTATAGGGTGTTGGGTGTGATTCTCACGGAATAAATGTGGGTTACTGTCATCCAAGTAACGGCAATTGGGGTTATTCTGTAACAATTCCTTTATATTTAACGGCCTTTAAAAATATTGGCTGCCTATAAAAATATGTTCATATTCGTTAATTTACTTCTTTCATTATTTAAACAGATTTCTTTAAGATAGTCCTCTAATGTATTTTAAAGATCCGTTTAAATAATGACAGAAGTAAAGAAGAAAATATTTTTAGTGGCCGTTAAATATAAAGGAATTGTTACAGAATAGACCCCATTATGTCTATTAATAGCTCCAATCAAATTAAATGTACACTGATTGGAAAAACAAATATTAAATAATAAGTTAGGATCTGCAATTAAATCGGTGATTTCGAAAATCGTACATGTCCAAAATCAGCATTCCAAAAAAACAGTAAAAAACCTTTTAACATTGAAACTACGTGACAGAGACTATATTCATGCATAGAAAAGTTTTAGATCTCGAGGTTTGCAATATATTTTTAATGATAGTTTTTCAGCAAAATATAATGGACTACCAATGACAGGTACAAATGGAGTATGGACTTGTACGGTTTTTGAACTCAATCCTGTATATAAAAAGAATTTTTTAATTTATTCAATATTTATTCACAAAGGAAGAAAAATTCGCTGAGGTAAGCACTAATAGATTCATTTTTGAGTTTTTGGATTTCTTAAAAGTGTGTGGCATTATTCAGCCTAATTTGGTCCACAGGTGCTTAAGAATTGACGCCACTTGGGTCTTACTTTTCTCTTTTCTGTAAGTAGTTCCCTAATTTCTCTTGGATAGTTTACCAAAAACGCATTAAATCAGAAATTTCATTTTGATATAGTAGATCTAGTTTTTGTTGAAATGTCAGTCGTAAGTTTTTATTAAAATAAGTTATTTAGTACATACTTATTGTAGTTTTTTTGACTGGATACTTTTCAATGTATATATTTGCATTTTTACCTCTTTCCATTGAAGTGCCGTCCCTGCAATTAGTAGCTCACTTAGAGCCGAGAGACAGATTGATAGTTTTATGTTTTTAATATATATAAAGTTTTTATCACGAAGAGATAAAAATGTTCCCGTATCTCTCGGTCTAAGGGAGTTTCAATTAGTTTCCCGATTTCTATCAATAAAACAGTAATAAATTTCTTAATATTTATTAAAACCAATATTCAGTGAGATCAATAATCAACAATAAAAAATTTCGAAAATTGGCAAAATAAAATATAATCGTAAATTAAACAGTGGTAAATTTTTTCTAAACTTAAGAAAATAAATTAACAATTTTTTCACTTAATCCTACTATAGTTTGCCATATAGTAACTTTATATACAATTTATATTAAGGTATAGACTAGTGTGAATCATCAATGAATACATACTTCTCGTTAAAAAAAAAACATTAGTTTTAAAATTATTGATATTCGTTTAGGTTTTTCCAAGGTACATCATTCAAGTGATTTTCTCAGATTAATTTTTATTTTAAAATATTGATATTGTAAATTGAACAATATATTATCGTTTAAAAAAGAAATAGATGATTCAAAACGTACTAAAACGGAAGTGTGGTCACTCTAATGAATGAGAAATATAAAAAAAAATGTGAAATTTTGCTTGCGCATTTGGGTTTTTTGGTTTGATAATTAATATTGGACAAATTCGTGATGGAATAGTTGAGGTTATTTTGAAAGAAAAATTGTGTTAGATACTTATATTAATATAAAAAACAGTAAGTATTATGTAGCAAAAGAATAGTTTACATTTTAAAAATGCTTTAAAACAGTAGAATCATATTTATACTTCATGGAATGTTAATTTATACGGTTCTTATACGTACATACAGTTGTAGTTTCGTCTGAATTTTTATATATTATTATTATTTTTATTGGATTTTGCCAATTTACGTAAAATTGCTTTATATTTTACAAATAATACAAATGTTAAACTATACAGGGTGTCTGTAAAAGGTCTTTACAAAAACATACCACATATTCCTTAGACCAAAATAAGTCAATTTAAGTAAAATTACCTTAGTACAAAGTTGCTTCGTTTGGGCTCCAGAGGGCCTTGAAGTTACAATTTTTAAATCGTTTTTCCCATATAAATTTAAAACGGCATATGCGATTTTGCTGAAATTTGGTATATTGGTAGAGTTTTATATGGCAAA